ACAAACATTAACGTAGGCTATATTCCTGGTTATTAATACACGCTACAAATAGCGTAGGCTATATTCCTGGTTATTAATACACGCTACAAATTGAGTAGGCTATATTCCTGGTTATTATTAATACACGCTGTACAAATACACGTTACAAATAGCCTAGGCTATATTCCTGGTTATATATTCGCTGGTTATATAATACACGCTACAAATTGAGTAGGCTATATTCCCTGGTTATTAATACACGCTCCAAATAGCGTAGGCTATATTCCCTAGTTATTAATACACGCTACAAATTGAGTAGGCTATATTCCCTGGCAATGACAACGCTCTGCAAATAGCATAGGCTATATTCCGTGGTTTTAACAAAGCGAACAGTGAACACCATATTCCCAGATAATATAGAGATGCAGGAAATATTGTTTGACATTAGTCCTTGGCAATAACAACACGCTGTGATTAGACGATGTTTCTTGTAAAAACAACATCGTCGAATTACAAACAGTTAACCCAAGTTACAACACAGGAGCTTCTGGGCCATAGGCCATTGATCAGGTAGACAGATGAGACTATACAACCGTGCCTCGTCCATCTTTTTAAGCGTGACAGGGAGTCTTTACACCTATATTGTCGGAGTTGCCAGACTAATCGGACACTAAATTGAAGAAGATATATTAGCAACCTGACTACATTTGATATAAAATAATAATATTCTTGTACCAATATCTTTTTAATCTCTTACCAGAAACTCCCAGTAAGAATTATAACTGAGAGAATGTGATGTGGTAAAAACGTTTTTTGCACTCGGCTTTCCTGTTCAATCATTTGAAAAAGAAACTGAATTATATGTTTGTAATTCACGATTTATTCCCAGCAAGTGAAGAGAATGAACATGCACATTATATATTTTTCAGGACATGTTTTGATCTTTACCTGCGAAACGAAAAAATCTTTTTCTATCTGTACCTCACGGTACGGAATTGGATGGTGGAGATACGAAAGGCCTGTACATCTCAAAGCAAGGACTGAATTCTTCCATCAGCTGTATCTAGTAGCTGTTTACGTACATGCTGATATTAAAGACTCCAGGTATTTCAGTGGATCATGCACAAAAGACAGTGCCAGACGACCTGTATATTTGGCTCAGATTTTTGTTTGCACAGACGGTAGATATATATGAAATAGGAAATTTCGTTTACTTTTACCCGCACTCAGCAATAATCCATATATATGGCGGCAGTCTGTAAATAATCGAGTCTGGACAAGACTATCCAGTGATCAACAGCATGAGCATCGATCTACTCAAATGGGATACGATGACACGTGTCAACCAAGTCAGCGAGCCTGACCACCTCATCCCGTTAGTCACCTCTTACGACAAGCGTAGGTTACTGAAGATCAATTCTAACCAAGACCTTCAGGGATCGTTTGGTCATGGACAAAGAAACATGATTTGAAACCTGGATAGTGAGCAATGGTCTGATATCACCATATCCAGTCATTCAAGAAGCCTCCTACAGAGGTAGAAACATGTCTCCACATTCCCTACAGCAACCAATGAAACGTGGACGGTGAGAACTGGAACAGTGTCCTGGGTCCACCTGCACAAAGTGACCTCAGCGCTATGATCGTAACTCCTATACTCGGATACAGACTTATGACACGCCTAATGCTAAGATCGCTTTGAGCAAGTGGACCCAAGACCAGGCCCCGATTTCTTGAAACAAACTTAAGTTTTTACTCAAATTTCAAACTGAGTTGGACAATTTAAAACAGCTGAATTTTTAACTCAACTGCATTTTTAAATTAAATAAGCCCAAACAACTTGAGTAATCTATCTATCAAAGACAAATTGTCTACCATGTTTGGGTTTGATATCGATTTCAGTTCACTCTGGGAAATGCATTTCCCTGCGTTTTCTCAAATTTGAGTAAAAACTCTAACTTAAGTCAAAACTCAGACTTTAGCTTGTTTCGAGAAATCGGGGCCAGATATTAGTTGCTGCAACAGTTCTCTGACACACATGCACAATCTCCTCAAAATATTCACCATTTATAGTTGTTCCCTGTGAAAAATAGTCCAAGTGTAATACGTCCTTGCTATCCAACAATACAGTGTCCATAACTTCTTGCTTTTAGTAGAGTCAACGTGGTTCAACCCCATCAAACTATTCCACAAAAGGAAAATCTGAATTATATAATCAATTTAAAATTAGCATTTTAATTATGTTTCAAAATCACAGATAACAGAAATAATAATCACAGGTCCAAGTTCCTCGAAATATTCAGCACTGTACAACCTGAACTTAAATACATTAGCAGTGCCTTATAATGCTCCAAGGTGATCAACATCAATCAGCAATGCATGATCAGACAATACCTCAACAAGACTTTGACATAAGGAGAGATTATGATACAAGCACATGTGCCAAGCTGTAACGAAATGAGCATCAGTGTCTTCTATTTCCTGAGTGAGAGTGATGGTGAAACTTGAATTCTCACCAAGCTTCGTAAAATCAATCTGACACTGTAATAATTTCTTTATCCTTCATTATTTCTTCACAATGTTGAGAAATTGCACCCTTTAGAAACAGCACCAATCATGACCTTCTTAAAAAGACAACTGTCAAATGATGTACATAATATTCATATTTGACCTTGCATGCATCACAGTAAGCTGAGAAAGATGTCAAAGCAGCCTTTACAACATGAACAATACACTGGTGTATATAAAGTGATACAACAAACTGTGAACTTGCTAATCCCATGGAAAATAAAAAGTATATATTTGCTCATTAGGGACCGTTCATAATTTATGGCTAGTGTGTGTGTGTGTGTGTGTTGAGGATTTTAAGGGGGGTCACCCATTTTGTTCTAGGGTAGTAAGGGTTAAGCAATTTTGTACACATGCACTTGGGGGTGGGGGGTCAGCAATTTTGTACATAGAAATATTTAAAAATTATGCTTAAAAATATGGAAAGGGAGGGGGTCATTGATTTTGTACATGATATGTAGGGGAGGGGTCACATACTTTGTACATAAATTTAGGGGGGGAGGGGGAGGGAGAGGTGAGTCACATAAAAATCTCCATAGAAATCATCATCACTCCCCAGCCATAATTATGAACGGTCCCTTATGTCTATATTTTGCATGGTATTATGAATACCATGATTATCTCAGTTCTGTCTGATAACTAATCTCAAAACAAGTCCTTCACTAAACTAAAGGGCAAGTCCTGCAGATGTGTCACCGGGATTTACCAATAACCAAATGATCATGACTAACAGTGACTTAGTGTTTTCCCAAGGCATTGTTAGCAGGGCAAAGTGCCCTGCCCTTTTCATTTGGCACCCTGCCCTTTTATTTGACGGCCTCCCCTTCACTTTAATACAAAATTATGTCGCCCTGGTCTTTCTGGAACCTGGGGAGAGCACTAAGTGTGATGGATAAACATTCCACAACCTGTATTCCATTACTGTCTGACAATTCACCCTTGTTTATCAAGAAACTAATAAGCATGTAAACAGTAAGTACCGTACACAACAATGTTGATATCAGACTTGACCTAATGTTAGCATGTTTTGAGGACATTGGTAAACAATAGTGATATCAAAAAATGACTGAATAAAAACAAAATGCTGAAAGTTAATAAAACAGAAGCTTATTCTAATGTACTTCATTAACTGTGTTTACAGATTCACCAACTGTAAACTAACAAAAATGTGCACTGAAATAGATCATATGTGAAAAATCTGTCATTTTGCTGAGTACCGGTTAAGCAAGGTAAGCTGTATCTACACCTTTTTATTGCTCATGATTTACATTTTTTTGCAGGAATCACTTTATCACATAACTGATAGTGTCATCGATAGAGATCAGTCCAATTAACTTGGTATCACAATTTGATAACTACTTGTATGCAAATGAGGTCATCTTGTTGGAACTTTTTTCAATAAAATTCTATATATCATGATACATACATGTCAAGCCAAGTTTTACCAAAGTCTTTGTCTAACTCTCTGCAAACATTAAACAGCGTTCTAAATACCTGCCTGCCCAACCGCCCGGGACGGGTTATTTTCAACAGGGACTGCCAGATTCTCAAATCCACCTGCCCGACGGTCGGGTTAAAATTTAGACATGTATATACATATATTCATCATATTTCAGGATTATAAATCATTATTAATTCACTCGTAAAAATAGAGTAAAGAAATTAGTATTTTTGTGGGCAGGTAAGTTTTGGTCAGGGCTGGCAAGTTTTACATCTATAGTCCGTTTTTACTTCATTTGAGACCGATGAATTCCTCACTAACACAAAATCTAATAAATGCAACAAGATCAAACTTTGCACAGTCACATGAAATCGACGGACCAACTCTGATGATTTGTCTCATAATTTTGTAAACCCAAATAGAATAGAAAAGTTGTTTAACAAACGATCATTATTTTGTTGTCACTTTTCACTATTTCTTACGAGGGGGGACCACTTGCTGGTACAACAGCCAGGTGTGCGAGTTGTACATGTGAAATTGAAATTTCACTGCACACGCTTGTTGATTACCTGGCTGTTTTACCAGAGGTCCTGTCGATTTCATGTGACTGTGCAACATTTAGTTTTGTTACAATTATTACGGTTTGTGTTAGTGAGCAATTCATCGGTCTCAAATGAAATCAAATGACTGTAACCAACCCTGTGGTCTGGCTGAAATTTTGGGGAGTGTCATACCCTGCGTTAAACTAGCTTTCCTGGCGTGTGAACACGTATGTCAACAATCATGGCCACCAGTCACCATATATCATTTACTTCAGTAAATGAAAATATGTCTTAAACTGATATTATCATAAGAATGACATCAAATGATAACAGGATTATTACCCTTGTGTGTTTCCCTATTTCAAAATGATATATTGAGAATAAAATATATTAATATTCCTTATATCTGAGATTTCATAATCTAAAAACACAGTCATGTAATAATCTCTACTGTATCAAAATGCTTCTATAATGTTAATATATTTAACTACTGATCCTGTTTTCAAATTCCATATACCATGTCATCCAAAACAAAAAAAACTGCATTTGTAGAAACTCCACACACAATACTCCCTTTGAGTCAATTTTTTGTCAATTTGTTATTGAGTTTCTCCATTGGGTCTGCCTTTTATGGAAACTCTACACACAACAGTCTTCTCTCCTTGGTGTACTGCTTAATATGGGCGGAGAGCCTAAAGTGATGCAGGTTGACCACTTTGGTGAAATACACAAGCATGGATATGGTGCTGACAAACCTAGAAACATTATTCAAAGAAACAGGGTTTACATAAACATTTACAGGATCCTGGTGTGTCCAAGGGACACAAATCTGCACAGTAGCATCTTGGACATCTCCGCCACTCATGTCCCCAAGCCTACTTAGGCTCCAATGTTCAACAGTGGCTATCATTGATACATTTTTTCACTTATAGCCATCGGTCTAAATTACAAGTCTAGTAAAATTAATTTTGGGGTATAAAGCACGGTAAGCTAAGTTCTAATAGTCTACATATGCCATTACTAATTTCTACAGTAAATACCTCCACACAACCGGGTTCAGACTAGCGGACAAAACTGCTTGTTGTACTGACTGATGATGTAATTAAAGTCATAACATTTCCAATATGCTGTATCACAAACTGCCTCTGAATATGCTGATTATCAAAATTCTTTGAGCACCCCAAAATGGTTTTCTATTGATGCAGGTAAATCTTCGAAGTGAAGAGTTTCTGTTATGTCAGCACCAAATTTCTTCAACTTGCTCACAAACTTTTTTTCTTCTTTCCCTACCCATGCCCTCATCTGGTCTCGAACCTGGTAATGCCAGTCACATGGACATGTATCTTAGATCTTCAGTTCGCTCAGATTCTGCAGACTCTCTGTGTCAGAAATCCATGTATTACCATGGCCCCACTATGGCCTCCATCCAACCAATAGAATTCTTCGATCTGATTAATGAAATCCTTTATTTTGGGGTATCCTTCAGCCGATGACAGGCTATAGAGCATCTGATTGAGAACTACACGCAGCCTTTGCTGAATCCTATTAGTGTCAATGGCACCTGTGTATCACTGCGTGTCCTTCCCAGATGAATCGGACTGTTTCACTAGTTCTTTACTCACTACATTACAATACAAAGGTTTCAAATGGATCCAAGCCTGTGGGGAATGACTATGGGATGGACTGCCAAAGGCATTTGTTTCTACAAAGTTGGAATAGACGCTGAATGTGTTGAGATGCATACTGCAAGGTTTAATGACAAAAACTGCACTGTCTTGAAACCTTTTCAGGAGAATTTGTGCTGTGCTTTCCAAGTTCCATTGAAGATATCTCTTGTTATCCCGATGGCTTGACATTCTCTCAGGATAGTCCTAAAATATAATAAAAACAGATGGACCTCATAATTTCATCACATGATCAGTGCTTTACATCATCATAAACATACTGAATAAAACGTTTTACATCTCTTTATAAAATTCTAATTTATTCATAGTTATTACTTTGAAAATGGAAACTACTTCAACTCAAATTTCATTTTTGCACCTGATTTACACAATTTGCACACATAAAAGCATACAGGTTTATGGATTACAACTTCTTGTTTATTGCATAGAGCGATGTTTTTGGTGTAGATTCTTACACCGTTTTCAAGCTAAAAGTGAAAACATTTTCAAGCTAAAAGTGACATCCATACCTGAACATCGCCTCCGAAGAAGATGACATGTTTCTTTGCTGTAGACATGTCGCCACAAACAATCACGTCGTTAAAATGGCCCGGCAACCCTGGCACCTGTTCGTGTCGCCGGCATGATGCCTGACAGCTCTCTGGAGACTGTAACCCGTCCATGGCACTGCTTGCAGCAGCGCGTTTGTTCACCGTGCACACACACGAAATTCGTCCTGAAACCAAGACGCTTATCACGAGGCGTTATGCATGTCTCATGGCACGATATCTCCTCTAACTAGGCCAGATTTCATAGCTGTTGTTTTCATTGTATGTAAACATAGTGACATTCAACGGTCACCGTTTGCTCCGGAAGTAATGCGAAGGTAAAGGACGTTAATATCTCAGATACTACTTTACTAACAACTAATTGCAAGGAATCCTCCTGAAAAGCGGTTAATATGTGAACTCGTCCCTATACGATATCAACCGAAAACAATTACGAATACGGTTACGGTTACATATTTTGACCCCATACATTTGATGAAATAGTCAAATGATAGAACTTTGTGCTGTTTTCGCTTCGTACAATTCTTTGTCAATGGATTATAATATTTCCCCAAAGGTCTGAGAGTATGTCGTACAGACCCTGAAGCAAATATATCCAAGAAAGCCCACGCAAGTCTAGAAAATGTGGCAAGTCTAGATTTCCTTAGCTTGAAAATGAAGAAAGTCTCAGGGCTTCTTTTCATTATATTTTATTTTTTCTTACTATGAACTTTTTTCAGTAAAATATGTTCATTTCAGAGACTAGTTGTTAGTCTAGTCTGAGAGCTACAGTTTGATGTATAGTCTGTCTCACAGTCCCTGAACCACATTATTTTCCCTACTGCCAAGCCCTCTCTGCAGTGCTAAATCTCTAAATAAAGCAAGTCTAGATTTCCTCAGGTTCTGAATCTCTGGTCTCCCTGGGGCTCCTTTTCAATTTAAATGGGGTTGTTTGTTACTATCAAAATTATATATATTCAGGGACTAGGCATTTGTCTATTTGATGTACAGCGTCAGTATAAGAACCAACAGAAAGCTAGGGTCAATGTGCACACAGAAATGGATAGTTTAGTCGTACTCAATCATGGTGGCCTGTTGTATCACAAGTCAAAATGGCCACAAACCCCTAGTCAAAATGGCCATACCAAAAAGTCAAAATGGGCATAGAAAAAGTCAAAATGGCCATACAATATTTTTTTAATACTCATAACATTTCCCATATTGTATTATTTGATATTAAGGTGTAAAAATGAAAAAACTTGATGTTTATTACACATCAACAAATCATACAAATTTTTCAACAAATAATAAGACCTATATTTGTAGGTTCTTTCTTCATGTACATGCACGTTTGTACTATTTACTACTACATGACATCCATGTAGATCAGTTACATCAAGTCAGAAACAGTTCTTCCACTGGTCCACTTAGTAAAAGTGTCTTGGTCCTGGATTACAGTTGCACTGCGGTTAATCTTTTTCCTTCGTTGACTGCAGGGGCGGTGGGGTAGCTTAGTGGTTCAGGCGTTCGCTCGTCACGCTGAAGATTCCGTATTCCCCCCCACATGGGCACTATGTGTGAAGCCCATTTCTGGTGTCCCCTGTCGTGATATTGCTGAAATATTGCTAGAAGCGGCGTCAAACCAAACTCACTCACTCACTCACTCGTTGACTGCAACGTTGCCTGGGATTTTGAAGGCGGATTTTGGGGATAATTTTGTTTCCTGCAAAAATATTAGTTGGGGGTAATTTTGTTTCAGGCTATGAGTGTCATAAGCTCATGCCTATTTAACCAGAGACCATTACAATTCCACTTTTAATATAGCCATGGTTGCTGTAATTTGGAAGATAAAGTTATAAAAGACCATGGGTGGGGCAGTAAAGTTATAGGGTAGCTTAGTAGGGTGTCCTCCCATTACGCAGATAGCCAGGTGTCTCATTTGCTGCAAATCACAATGTTTTCAAATATGTACATATCTATATCTCTCCAACAAAACGTTTTTAACTCAGTTAACATATGCTATTATTGGGAAGGGGCTTTTCTATCAATAAACACAATCAAACCTCTCAGTGACAAACCTGTTTTTATATTCGATAGTAATTGATAGTAAAATCTATTTTGAGAAGAGAAATCATTTAATCACAACAGAGTAGGATGTTTAGAATAGACTTTTAACAGCTATGAGGAGACTGGCTAGACGTTTATGGTAGGGTGGGCGAGTGGGTGTAATGTGTTGGCTGTGGGGTCCTTCATGGGTGTGGCTGCTGTGATAAATTCTATGAGTTTGCGAGAGTAATTAAACAACACAAATCATTACATAAGAAAACATCTCAAAGTACAGGATAAAAAAACATCTCAAAATATTAAATGACTATAAATCTGAAAGTATCAATTAAGAAAGCATTTCAAGAACACTCATTAATATGGAGAAAAAATAATGTATGGCCATTTTGACTTTTTCTACGGCCATTTTGACTTTTTGGTATGGCCATTTTGACTAGGGGTTGTGGCCATTTTGACTTTTTTGTGTGGCAATTTTGACTAGGGTCAGTGTGGCCATTTTTTCGTGTGGCCACTTTGACCCGTTTCCTTACATATGCACTCGTAGCAGGGTGTGGAGTCATCTCACAGATTACATCCTTACCTTGTTAACCTCTTTGGTCATGTGGACAAGGCGGCCGACTTCGGTCGGTGGTTCGAATCCCAGCACGGGACTCGGAAATTGTATGGCCGCTACACACGCATGACACTACAGCTCCCCACTCAGCCATCTCGCCTCCTCGTGTGGAATTTGACTGTCTCCGTCGTGTGCTTGGTTCGATCGCACTTGCAACATGTTACCCTACCTGTCACATGGTATTGATGAGCGGCGTTTCGGTGTTAGTAGCTACATCGAAACCACACTCATATTAATAACAAAGAAGTTGTATATCCTTAGAACTCTACCTGTTGTTGACAAGGCAATATGCGGCAATGACCTGAACGCGGGAGTGTTCATTGTTGGTAAGATTTTCACTGATAACGTTTAGATATAACTAGGTGTTATTTGCATGTATACAGATAAAAGTTTGCTGGAAAATGAGTCGTCAATGGGAAGAAAACAAAGCTCAGCAGACGCTTTACAAAGTGAAAAACATACTTTCAAGTAGTTGTGAACAATTACATTCAACAGTTTAAGGTCATAGAAGTACTTCCGGTTTGTGATACGGTTGTGATTGTTTTCTTGTAATACAGAAATACTTTGGATTACTATTTAAACTATTGAAATTACGAGTGAAAGTGGCGCTGCTATTCCGCTGGTTACAGACTGGGGAACTGTGTGGTAGACCTGTAGTGGTATGTAACCGTACAAATGCCATCATGACCGTGTCCAAGTACGTCTGATATTATCAATATCAGTACCATGGCAGTCTGTCGTTTCTTTTCCTCAGTCTGTTTTTATTATTAGCGCTGCTGGGGTTCCATTTTAACATCCAGTTTGAAGGAATAAAGGGTGCCTAACCCTAAACCCTGAATATGATTAACCTAAACCCTTACAATGGAAGGAGTTAAAACATACTTTCCCGGTATATATTTTTAGGTGCCAAAACCCATTTGTATTTGATAAATACCGTAAAACATACTTTCCATATATTTTGGTAAACCCATTTGTCTCTGCCGTAATGAATGACTAATGCACAGACTGTGAGAGAGATGTGGAACATTGTTTTACACTTTTCGTTGCTCGATACCAGCGGTTAATGTCAATGGAAGGAACTGGCAAAGTCCTCACTCCTCACTGAATTGACATTACAAGTAATGGAATGTAGATATTCCAGACAGTTGTGGTTACTGAACATGCTGAATACTTAGACCATTTTGCTGATTCATCATCTCCAGATTCTGGAATGCATGACACTTTTTATGGATAACAACTTCTTTTTGTTCTTTATCAGGGCGTTTCAAAGCTACTTCTTGCTCCTTTATCAAGTGAATGCTGAGTAGAATTAATATAGATCGTCAGTTGAACCAAATACCTATGTTTGATGGTTTTACACACATAGTTCAAGAAGATACAGGGGAATCACGACATTTTGTCTATTTGAATAATAAGCATGACAAGGGAATAAATCCAGACTCATGATGCCATTTAGAATGTGGACACATGTGACATATGTTGCCAGAACAAAAGGTCAGCAGCTTCAATGAAAATGGATTGCTGACCATGCTGACAATTGCAGGGTTTTACCTCGACTCAAAAACATGGGTGTCGGGGGGCCCCCAATTATTAGTCTTAAGGGTCCTTACGGGCTAAATGAGGGTCCTGTGAAGGAACAGTGTAGAGAACTGTATGGGAAAGACCTCTGCCCGAATCCCCCTTAGATTTCATTTTCATTCTAGTCTAATCATATCACCTGAATATTATATATTCCTCATCTAATAAGGATGAGTTTTAACATGTTAGTTTAATTGTATCTAAACATCCGACCGCCTCCGTGGTGTAGTGGTTAGAGCGTCCGCCCGGAGAGCGGAAGGTCGTGGGTTCGATCCCCGATCGCGTCATACCAAAAGACGTTAAAATATGGTTCTTGTTGGTCCCTGCCTGGCACTAGGCCTTAATGGGTACAACATGGACTGGTTGGCCCGGAGTCAGTATAATGTGTCTGAGTGGGGTATTCATGCTTCACTGCGGCATGGTATCTCAGTGGGCTAGCACTATAAGACCAGCTTCAGTCTGGGCTAGTACAACCAGCCGCACATACACATACACATACACACGCATGCACGTCGCCATATGAGCAAAATATTTTTAGCACGACGTTAAACCCAATTTCACCTGACCTCACCATCTAAACATACCGAAAGACATATCCAACTTCTAAAAATGCGACTGAAAGGAAATTTTCCCCATTGTTAAAAGTTAGGTGGGGTACGGCCGGAAGTCTTACCACTGTATGTTTTATAATATCTTTAGAGCCTGGAATGAAACTTTGAACATGTGGACTGATAGATGAAATTATGCATGTAAGTTGTAACTGCTCTGAAAGAAACAACCAAACACTTAGCAAGAGATGTTTTGTGGTTACAGTGAATAATATTGTGTGTCCATGTGGACGCAGTGAATTGTTTTTCTGTGTCCTTTCGTTACATTTGTGCATACTGGACACACATTTGCATGTAAAACCTGCAATTGGGAGTCAATATCACACACTGTCGATGTTATTTTGTTTCCGATTCTGGACAAATCCCTGTATATAACAGATATACATTTGTAACTGTAATCTTAAAAAAATGTAAGTAGCAGCGTAGATTTGTACATTTCATTTGAATGTGTTTTACATTGTGTCTTTGTTTAGGTTTGAGTACATATGAATTTTGCTTGCAGATATATACAGAACACTGAGCAGCTCTGGTCTGTGATGGCTGCTCAAGTGAGTAAAGTTCAAGTATGTCATTATTATGATAGTATAACCTCAATAATACTCATTTAATTACGGTACCCATGGTTACTGTGGAACATGAATATTGTGAAAAGAAACATGAATGTTCTCTGTGGCATGTATCATGATGTAGTTGACAGTTCCTTGTGTTCACAAATATCGGTGAAATTAAATTTCATACTTCTCACAGTGCATGATAAACCTAACCGAACGTAGAATTGCTTATTCATCATGATGTTCATGCTTATGCTCTCTGCACAAAAATATTTCTGTGGTTTAGTTTACATGGACCTATAGACTTTCATGCTTAGTTTGGAACCCTGAGTAGAGACCAGTCAGTGTAACACAACATAAGCATTAGGGAAACAATTGACTGCAAACAGTCAAAGAAAAGTATTCTTCTTGTTTAAAAACATCTTTCCTCATGCCCCTGGTCATATACTTTAAAAACATCGTCATTTCCCCTGACTGGTCAACAGCACCTCCTGATACCGACCCTGTCTCCATGGTGATTAGCTTGACCAATGTTGTTATCTGTTGTGTAGTTGCTGATTGGACAGAGACGGGTTGTGGCTTATCTCCCTTGTGTACAGGCAGCTGTTGGGCATTTCCGAAAATTCTCATCCCATAATAAACCCTACCACACGGAGCACTATATTGTGGAGGCTACAAGTAAGTTTGAGTAAAGTCATTGCTTTAAGGACATTGTTTTTATGGACTGATACATGCATGTCATATATCTTGTAACATCCGGTGTATATATATGTATGATACCCAAGGAAACACCTGTTGGATTTCATAGCTTATAGATTTTAGGTCATCAGCCAGCCTGGGTTTGTTGGTGAAGAACTTGTGACATTCCACAGTGGACTACCAGATTTTCTGCTGGGTTAATGTCCAGTCTAATTCCTCAAGATTTTTTCTGAGCAGTTAGCAGTCCATGCTTGTCATCAGATGCAAGTAATGGGATAGGGCGGTCAGGCTTCGTTGACACGTCATCCCAATTGTATAGGTCGATGCTCATGCTGTTGATCTCTGGATCATTGGTCCAGACTCGATTATTTACAAACCACTGCCAGATAGCCATAACATTAATGAGTGCAGTGTTTATTTTCAAAAAAAATAAATTCTGAGCAGTTGAAAAAATACTGGTAACCCTGACAAGGGCCACTATATAGCTGGAATATTGCTGAGTGCGGCGTAAACCTAAACTCACTCACTCACTGACAAGGGCTTGCACTGCAGATACATACGGATGTAAGATAACAGTGCTTGGTTAAATATATAATCATTGTTCCAATCTGATAAATGATGAAACTTGTTAATTAATTGTAATTATTAAGTCAAATTATGAAAACATCATAATATGTTATTAACAAAGTTTACTCTAAGATGCATCAATGAATTGGGTTTAATATGTGTCCGTTGGGTGATGTCGATGTGGAAGGAAAGCCAGAAGCAGAGCAGGTCTCCGACATTTTATGTCTAAACACCGGTATGGTGCAGCCCAACCTAGAAACAATAAAATCATTGAAAGATATGGTACTTTCTAGGTCTTTGGTGAATGAACTCTGAGTACTTTTAACTTAAATCAGATGATAGTTCTGTGACTTCGAATAAGATCATGGTGGTGACCTTGACCCCTGTCTCTCTGCTGCAGACACACAGACAGTTTGGCCAGACACAAATCTGGGGCCCTTTGGTCCACAAGACCGGCGCTTCCCTCTCCCGGGACTCGTAGGAACAAACTCATCTCTGCAACAACCTTTCAAACACCAGCCTCACGCGGAACCAGACAGGGTGTTACCTCCCCTTGCTGTAGAGAGGCACTACCAAATAACAGAGCAGTTCATTATATCATCAGAACAGGTGAGATTAACATAATTAACCTTTATTGAAGCATTGTGAGCATTTCTGTTCCTTGGTGTTGGGACTTGGCTCAATGAAAGGGGCAGTGGAGTAGCCTAGTGTTAAAGCCTTCCTTTGTCACATTGAAGTGTGATTGAGTGAGTTTAGTTTTGCGCCGCTTTTAGCAATATTTCAGCAATATCACGGCGAGAGACACCAGAAATGGGCTTCACACATTGTACCCACATGGGGAATGGAACCCAGGTCTTCGGCATGACGAGCGAATGCTTTAACCACTAGGCTACCCCACCGCCTCGTCACATCGAAGACCCGAGTTTGCTTCCCCACATGGATACAATGTGTGAAGCCCATGTTTGGTGTCCCCGGCCGTGATGTTGCTGGAGTATTGTTAACTAACTCACTGGATTGGTAAATTCAAGGGATGCCAGTCCAATGTCTATGGTGTCAGGAAGAAGTCTAATTTAGAACCTACAGCAAGGCTCCAGATAATTTTTCAACATCAGGAGTACGTACTCCTTATTTTTTCAATATAGGAGTACTTGAAAATCTTAGAGTACTGAATTGAATTTAATGGCGTATCAGTAACCTTGTGTTTCGTGTCATATATACACCACAACATTGCTAGTCTTGTGTAAACAGGTCAATAAACAATAAAACAATACTTTTTCAGATACATACGTTTGTAAATGATTCTAGGACAATTGTCGTCGTGCATATCTGCTACGTTTTCCAAATTATTTCCTAGCGTGTCGTGCATATGTTTTATCCGTACATACGCCGATACGGCCCTTATCTGGAGCCCTGCTACAGTATACATTCTTCTTAAGTTGTTAGCCTTACTTTTTAGCTCACCTTTAGACCCTATCCACCTGTGCTGATTGAGAGAGGCAACCACAGTCTCTGACTTGATGGCATGGATGATGATAGTCACTGAGTTTGGCCTAAATATGTACAACTAGTGTCACTCGTTGTCAAACACTTTAGTTCCCAATATATTGCAGTTCATACCACAATGCGGATACCTGTAACTGAAATACTGCAATACAATTTATTTGCCAATACACGGCCCTAATAGTCAAGAGGTTGACACTTCACTCATGAAGCCAAAGTCCCTAATTCAATTCCCTGCATGGGTTCAATATCTGAAACCAACCTCAGGTGTCACTTTCTGTGACATTGCTGGAACAAAAGCAGGGAAAACTATTCTTCACTCACTAGTTTTGATGTAGTTCCTATAACCTGTAGTTTTGTCAAAATGTTTTGCTGTGTCTCCAGATCGAGGCTGACTCTGGCTACCTGAAGGAGCCTCCCATCCCAACACCATCTGACATGTTGGAGTGTGTAGCTCAGGACTGCCCCCACATCTTGAGGAAAGGTAATGAAAGGAAAGATTACAGTTGGAACATGACCTCACTGATGACGTTATGACCTCACTGATGACGTTATGACTTCACTGATGGCATTATGACCTCACTGATGACGTTATGATCTCACTGATGACGTTATGACTTCACTGAAGATGTTATGACTTCACTGATGACATTATGACCTCACTGATGACGTTATGACTTCACTGATGATGTTATAACCTCACTGATGACATTATGACCTCACTGATGATGTTATGACTTCACTGATGACGTTATGACCTTACTGATGACATTAGGACCCAATGATGATGTTATGACCTTATTATGAGCTCAGTGATGACGTTATGACCTCACCGATGATGTTATGACTTCACTGATGACATTATGACCTCACTGATGACGTTATGACTTCACTGATGATGTTATGACCTCACTGATGATGTTATGACCTCACTGATGACGGTAAGACCTCACTGACGACATTAGGACCTCACTGATGATGTTAAGACCTCACTGATGATGTTAAGACCTCACTGATGATGTTATGACCTTATTATGACCTCATTGATGACGTTATGACTTCACTGATGACGTTACGACTTAACTGATGACTTCCCTTACTCACGGACTACCTTGCTGAATCTGTTCCAGACTTCACTGATCTGTTCCCTGGCCATGACATCATGGAGGGAGCCTTCACTGTGATCACCATCTCTCAGCGGACACAGCACGACATGACGGGGTGGTCCACGCAGGTGGACATTGAGAGGGAAACACTCCTAGCCACTGTGAGTACAGAGGAGCGCTGCAACAGTACACTCCCTTTGATGTGATGCGTATCATGATACAATGAAATGACACTTGACATTTATGGACGTTTCTATAAAAGGAAATAAATAGTAAGAGGAAATAAATGTTTTACAGATTTTAGGTGTTTGATAGGAAAACAGCTTATTTGTACTAGCAGAAACAAGTAATTTTTAAACTTATCCTATCTCACGACTAGCACCTCTCTCTCTTCATTCGACCATGAGTGGAAACGAATTAAAACTTTGCTCCAAGGCCTACCTTGCCCCTCTCCCGTGCTGTGCGTGCCTTCTGTCAGTCGAGCTCACTAGTCCATGACAGCACGAGGCATGCGCAGTCCTCACCCACGTGATCACCTCACATACTCATTCTCTTTCTTGTCGCTCCACTGAGTGGACGTGAAAAATTTTCGTCTGAGAATTGCTCAAAATGGTTAAGCCTGTTAAGGCCAGTAAACGGAAGTTTTGGCGTCCGTTGTAAAAAGTATTTTCAGCATGGGACCCTCACACATCGTGTGTTGATTGTGTGGGTGTTTGTGACTGGGACACCACGCTGTCCTAAGTGTTCAGGTTTGTCTAATGAGGCGTTTAAATCTTACAAAAAGCGTGCTTGTGCCAGACGTTTGGCAGATAGGGCTAGGACTATTTCTGCGGGGTCTGGTCCATCTCCGCTAAGAAACAATGCTTAGATCACCCGACCCTCACTGCTCACCGTTCTCAATCGGCCGTCTGTACTGGCGAAGATTTATGGACGGCTTCGTCGGATTCCTATTTATCTGAGAGCGTTGAGGCGGCTTTTGGGGAGGTTCCCTCACCCAGTTTACGTTCTCAGGGCGTACCAGGGTGGTAATGACCGATATTTCTTCTCGCCAGACCTGCGATCTACATAATGTTAAGGCATAGGATCTACTGTCATCTTAGCATTTCAATTGTCTTAATAATGTTAAGGTATAGGAGCAACTGTCATCTTAGCATTTCAACTGTCTTAATGACGTTAAGGTATAGGAGCTACTGTCATCTTAGCATTTCAACTGTCTTAATAATATTAAGGTATATGATCTACTGTCATCTTAGCATTTCAATTGTCTTAATAATGTTAAGGTATAGGAGCTACCATCATCTTAGCATTTCAACTGTCTTAATGATGTTAAGGTATAGGAGCTACTGTCATCTTGGCATTTCAACTGTCTTAATGATGTTGGAGGTATAGGAGCTTTACTGTCATCTTAGCATTTCAACTGTCTTAATAATGTTAAGGTATAGGAGCTACTGTCATCTTAGCATTTCAACTGTCTTAATAATGTTAAGGTATAGGAGGTACTGTCATCTTAGCATTTCAACTGTCTTAATAATGATAAGGCTAGGAGCTACTGTCATCTTAGCATTTCAGCTGTCTTAATGATGTTAAGGTATAGGGGCTTCTGTCATCTTAGCATTTCAACTGTCTTAACAATGTTAAGGTATAGGAGCTACTGTCATCTTAGCATTTCAACTGTCTTAATAATGTTAAGGTATAGGAGCTACTGTCATCTTAGCATTTCAACTGTCTTAATAATGTTAAGGTATAGGAGCTACTGTCATCTTAGCATTTCAACTGTCTTAATGATGTTAAGGTATAGGAGGTACTGTCATCTTAGCATTTCAACTGTCTTAATAATGTTAAAGGTATAGGAGCTTCTGACATCTTAGCATTTCAACTGTCTTAATGATGTTAAGGTATAGGAGCTACTGTCGCCTTAGCATTTCAACTGTCTTAATGATGTTAAGGTATAGGAGGTACTGTCATCTTAGCATTTCAACTGTCTTAATGTTAAGGGTATAGGAGCTTCTGTCATCTTAGCATTTCAGCTGTCTTAATAATGTTAAGGGTATAGGGCTACTGTCATCTTGGCATTTCAACTGTCTTAATAATGTTATTACCTCACTGATGACGTTATGACCTCACTGATGGCGTTATGACTTCACTGATGACATTATGACCTCACTGATGATGTTATGACCTCACTGATTACATTATCTCACTGATGATATTATGACCTCACTGATGATGTTATGACTTCACTGATGACATTATCTCACTGATGATATTATGACCTCACTGATGATGTTATGACCTCACTGATTACATTATCTCACTGATGATATTATGACCTCACTGATGATGTTATGACTTCACTGATGACATTATCTCACTGATGACATTATGACCTCACTGATGATGTTATGACCTCACTGATTACATTATCTCACTGATGATATTATGACCTCACTGATGATGTTATGGACTTCACTGATGATGTTATGACCTCACTGATGATGTTATGACCTCACTGATTACATTATCTCACTGATGATATTATGACCTCACTGATGATGTTATGACTTCACTGATGACATTATCTCACTGATGATATTATGACCTCACTGATGATGTTATGACCTCACTGATGATGTTATGACCTCACTGATTACATTATCTCACTGATGATATTATGACCTCACTGATGATGTTATGACCTCACTGATGATGTTATGACCTCACTGATTACATTATCTCACTGATGATATTATGACTTCACTGATGATGTTATGACTTCACTGATGATGTTATGACCTCACTGATGATGTTATGACCTCACTGATTACATTATCTCACTTGATGATATTATGACCTCACTGATGATGTTATGACTTCACTGATGACATTATCTCACTGATGATATTATGACCTCACTGATGATGTTATGACCTCACTGATGATGTTATGGCGACCTCACTGATTACATTATCTCACTGATGATATTATGACCTCACTGATGATGTTATGACCTCACTGATGATGTTATGACCTCACTGATTACATTATCTCACTGATGATATTATGACTTCACCGATGATGTTATGACTTCACTGATGATGTTATGACCTCACTGATGATGTTATGACCCTCACTGATGATGTTATGACCTCACTGATGATGTTATGACCTCACTGATTACATTATCTCACTGATGATATTATGACCTCACTGATGATGTTATGACTTCACTGATGACATTATCTCACTGATGATATTATGACTTCACTGATGATGTTATGACCTCACTGATTACATTATCTCACTGATGATATTATGACCTCACTGATAATGTTATGACTTCACTGATGATGTTATGACCTCACTGATGATGTTATGACCTCACTTGATTACATTATCTCACTGATGATATTATGACCTCACTGATGATGTTATGACCTCACTGATGATGTTATGACCTCACTGATTACATTATCTCACTGATGATATTATGACCTCACTGATGATGTTATGACTTCACTGATGACATTATCTCACTGATGATATTATGACCTCGCTGATGATGTTATGACCTCACTGATGATGTTATGACCTCACTGGATTACATTATCTCACTGATGATATTATGACCTCACTGATGATGTTGCTGACCTCACTGATGACATTATCTCACTGATGATGATATTATGACTTCACTGATGATATTATGACCTCACTGATGATGTTATGACTTCACTGATGATGTTATGACCTCACTGATGATGTTATGACCTCACTGATTACATTATCCTCACTTGACAGATATTATGACCTCACTGATGATGTTATGACTTCACTGATGATGTTATGACCTCACTGATTACATTATCTCACTGATGATATTATGAGCTTCACTGATGATATTATGACCTCACTTGATGATGTTATGACTTCACTGATGATGTTATGACCTCACTGATGATGTTATGACCTCACTGATTACATTATCTCACTGATGATATTATGACCTCACTGATGATGTTATGACTTCACTGATGACATTATCTCACTGATGATATTATGACCTCACTGATGATGTTATGACCTCACTGATGATGTTATGACCTCACTGATTACATTATCTCGCAATTGATGATATTATGACCTCACTGATGATGTTATGACCTCACTGATGATGTTATGACCTCACTGATTACATTATCTCACTGATGACATTATCACCTCACTGATGATGTTATGACCTCACTGATTACATTATCTCACTGATGATATTATGACCCTCACTGATGATGTTATGACTTCACTGATGACATTATCTCACTGATGATATTATGACTTCACTTGATGATATTATGACCTCACTGATGACATTATGACCTCACTGATGATGTTATGACTTCACTGATGACATTATGACCTCACTGATGATGTTATGACCTCACTGATTACATTATCTCACTGATGATATTATGACCTCACTGATGATGTTATGACTTCACTGATGACATTATCTCACTGATGATATTATGACCTCACTGATGATGTTATGACCTCACTGATGATGTTATGACCTCACTGATTACATTATCTCACTGATGATATTATGACCTCACTGATGATGTTATGACCTCACTGATGATGTTATGACCTCACTGATTACATTATCTCACTGATGACATTATCACCTCACTGATGATGTTATGACCTCACTGATGATGTTATGACTTCACTGATTACATTATCTCACTGATGATATTATGACCTCACTGATGATGTTATGACCTCACTGATGATGTTATGACTTCACTGATGACATTATCTCACTGATGATATTATGACCTCACTGATGATGTTATGACCTCACTGATTACATTATCTCACTGATGATATTATGACCTCACTGATGATGTTATGACCTCACTGATGATGTTATGACTTCACTGATGACATTATCTCACTGATGATATTATGACCTCACTGATGATGTTATGACCTCACTGATGACATTATCTCACTGATGATATTATGACTTCACTGATGATATTATGACCTCACTGATGATGTTATGACCTTCACTGATGATGTTATGACCTCACTGATGATGTTATGACCTCACTGATTACATTATCTCACTGATGATATTATGACCTCACTGATGATGTTATGACCTCACTGATGATGTTATGACCTCACTGATTACATTATCTCACTGATGACATTATCACCTCACTGATGATGTTATGACCTCACTGATGATGTTATGACTTCACTGATGACATTATGACCTCACTGATGATGTTATGACTTCACTTATTACATTATCTCACTGATGACATTATCACCTCACTGATGATGTTATGACCTCACTGATGACGTTATGACTTCACTGATGACATTATGACCTCACTAATGATGTTATGACCTCACTGATTACATTATCTCACTGATGATATTATGACCTCACTGATGATGTTATGACTTCACTGATGACATTATGACCTCACTGATGGCGTTAAGACCTCACTGACGATGATATGACGTTAATACCTCCTCACTGATGGCGTTAAGACCTCACTGATGATGTTATGACTTCACTGATGGCGTTATGACTTCACTGATGACTTCCCTTACTCACGGACTACCTTGCTCACTCTGTCCAGACTTCACCGATCTGTTCCCTGGCCATGACATCATGGAGGGAGCCTTCACTGTGATCACCATCTCCCAGCGGACACAGCACGACATGACGGGGTGGTCCACGCAGGTGGACATTGAGAGGGAAACACTCCTAGCCACTGTGAGTACAGAAGAACAGTACACTCCCTTTGATGTGATGCATATCATGATACAATAAATGACACTTGACATTTAAGGACGTTTCTATAAGAGGAAATAAATAGTAAGAGGAAATAAAAACATGTTTAACAGATTTTAGGTGTTTGATAGGAAAACAGCTTATTTGTACTAGCAGAAACAAGTTATAGTTAAAATTTTCAATTCTACAGTTTGGATGACCTGTTCCTTGTTTGGTTTTCAATCTCCATATGAAGATGTGAGTTGGATTCATTACATGAGAACCTTTCTGATGACTCCCTCCTCGCCACGATAAAACTGGAAAATTGCTGAATGTTGCGATAAACCCACTCCCACAACTGATGGTTTCATCCCTTTAATTTTATTCTTTCAGTTTATCCAGGGTGCGACAGAAATCTGTGATGCTTTACAACAGGCAGGGTACTGGGCCGACTTTATTGATCCATCCTGCGGCAAACCAGTGAGTCGAGTGTAGAGTTTACTTTCACTTTGGGTCATTTCACTAAGTGTCAGTTCATTGGAGTATGTATGAACCCTTGATAAAGTGAGCAAAGATATTCAAACCAATGTTTAGCACTCAGTTTGAAAGAGTGCTTGCAATGTATTTTAACCCTGAAAACTTTTATATTTGAGAAAAAGGCACCAGAGGTTCCTTGTCCTCCAGGGGCGGTGCGGTAGCCTAGTGGTTAAAGCATTTGCTCCTCACATTGAAGACCTGGGTTCAATTCCCCACATGGGTACAATGTGTGAAGCCCATTTCTGGTGTGCCCCGCCGTGATGTTGCTGGAATATTGCTAAAAGCGGCGTAAAACCAAACTCAGTCAGTCAGTCAGTCCTTGTCCTGACAAGACTATGGTGTCCCGATGTTTATACTCATACTAATTGTTATTCCTCCAAATTTTATGCTGCAATGCATTATCAGAATGTTACAGAGCCAGTGGGGTAGCCTAGTGGTTAAAGCGTTCGCTGGTCATGCTGGTGACCCATGTTCGATGTACAATGTGTCAAGTCCATATTTGGTGTCCAGATGTGATGTTGCAAGTAACAATCACTCCCTCCCTCATTGACCCAACTGCCCAGTGTGGTATTGAGTTGCAAGTAATTTTAAACCTTGATAGTTTGGTTTGTGCTGTATATTGTCAAGAGTTTTAGTTTTATGTTTGTTTCACTTCTATGTTTCACTTTTCTGTTTCACCTTTTTTTCACCCTTGTTTCACCTTTGTTTCATGTTTTGTGTTTTAAGTTTGTTTCATGTTTAGTTTTCGTTATGTGTTTCACATTGGTTTTCACATTTGTGTTTTGCATTTAACCTTTATTTTTCACCTTTGTTTCACATATGTGTTTCATGTTTTTGTTTCAGTATCGAGGACCACACACCAACTCATCGCTGTTTGAAACAGATGAGCGTTACAGGAAGCTGGGGTTCGAGATTGAGGATCTAGGGTGCTGCAAGGTGATACAGCACCACCTGTGGGGGACGCACGCCTACGTGGGCTGTCTGTTCACCAACGCCCCCCCCTGGACCATCCCGTGATCCAGCAGATGCAGCAACCAGACAAGTCATAGTCATCAAATGTTACAAATGTAGATACTTCTGGAATGAACTATTTTTGAAAAGTTTGTATGTATATTGTTGGCAAGGAAAGTGCTGTCATGATTCTGTTGTGATGATGTGATATGTTTGCTTTATCTTCACGGAGAGATGTTGCTATAATCTCTAACTTGTTCAATGAATGTCCTAGAGGCTTGTATAACAAGTCAATTTTCCATGCAAAATAAGACTACTTTCGTGTAGGCAAAATCTCTTTCCTGTGTGGTAAAATGGCACTATTTCAAGTTGATGCCCCAAGTGACTAGTCCTCACACCACTGTGTTTCCTATGTAGGGGGTTATGGATTATCTCTGTGGAATTACATTTTGTATTTCAACAACTCTATTGACACTCTATTATTAAGCAATAATGTTTGACACTTGCATACACAATAGACATATTTGTACTGAAGAATTGACATCACTATTGTTTGTGTATATGAGTTATAAATGCAAACAAACATATTGAAGTCAATTTTTATAAAATGTCAGCAATAATACCATCACAGACTGCTTGTTTATATGTTAGTACAGAAAACATTGAAGACAAAAATACAATATCAGTGACATGGTTCAGTGCAATGGTGCGACACAAACCTCAGGCAATCTATGTGAAACCAGTAGTGTTGGGAATAGGTTAAAATCTCGTAATTGAAGATTGGTTCATTACAACCGATCAATCATCGAAAATAATTGGTTAGCGTCATTTATGAAATTTTCCTGGTTATTTTTGTTATGCACAAAAAATAAAGAAAATATGTGCAGTTCCTTGGGGTAATTTTTGCAAATTGCACGTCTTTAAAGGATGACTTGTGTGTTAGGAACATAAATTTCTTGTCGTCTTTAAAATAAATTCAGTTGTGACTTGGAACCAACATGTCCTGTTCATGAAATGTAAACCAACATGTCCTGTTCATGAAATGTAACAGACAAAACCAACCGTGTGAAAAATATTGTTAATGCAAAAAGTGTTCCAGAATTGTTTGTGTTCGATTATGAGAAAACATGATCGATTGCTTGGTCGTTTAGTCATTGCGACCAATCTTCGATTTTTTCAATTAATCAGACCACCACTAGAAACCAGTCATCAAAATACTTGTCTGCATTAGATCTTTTAAGTGTATTGACACATGAATGCAAAAATACATAACTTGGTTAGCCAATTATATGTCACAGATTCCCTTGCAGTGTATTTGGTCGGAATCTATCAGAAAGTATTTTTCAGGGATAGGGAATTAAATTATGAATACAAATTGCAAATTTAAATGTAAAATTACCTCCTTTGAAAAGTAGACCTTCCAAGGTTTTGAAGTAGACAAATACTGAAACATTCAACCATTTATCTGCTCATGAGCTGTCATTAGATAAATTGTCTAGTGTAGAAAATTTGCATATCTCTCTTGAATTCAAACAAATGTCAGGATAAATTGTATGATGTGAGCTTAAATACAGACTGAATAATATTGTGTGCAGTTCTTGCCTTGCATTTGTTTATGTTGATTTTAAATACCCCGGTAATAGTACCTGTGAACTGTAACATAACATGGTGGGGAATAGTTGTGATGGTAGTGTGAATATTGCTGATGTGTCAGTGTCTCACAAGGACAAACCATGCTTTGGTGTCAACACTGTACAGAGAAATGTACAGAAGCATAGTGTCACATACTCCAGTGTATGAAATAAGCCAAACATCCAGCCAAACATCAGGGCTGGTAACTTCAAAATGTTACCAGCCCAAAATGGATTTAACCAGACCAAATATGGGTAATTTACTAAGATGTATGGAACATCTTAATTTTTTACCAGACCATCGAGCTGGCTAGCTGTAAATTTAGACCATCCATCAGAAATCTAGACCGTCTCAGGCGGTCGGACGGGCCTTATTTCATACACTGCATACTCTTAGTTATTCAAAATGCTTATGACATACCAAAAATATGTTTAAACATATCTTGGACTGTAATTGTGAAGTCACATTGCAAACCTCCAATGTTTTGAAGTGAAACTGTGAGTGGATGTGCGAAAAGTGTTGCCATTTCTTTTACTCAGTATTTGAGTCTAGTGTTTCCGGTGTTATGTTAGATCTCGGTTATTTTTTCATAAAATCCAAGATTTGTCTCCATTAGATGAGGTTATTTATAAACCATATGGGTTTGAGTTTCAGTGAGTTTAAGGATGTGTCATCAGTTGCTGTATCCAGAAGTATATACAGATATATATGTACATAGGAATATTTTAGACATTTTGGTGCATCTTGTCCTGTATGTGTGAATGTGTGGATTGAATTCAGTCGCAAGATGTCAGGTGTCAGTTTATGTGGAATGTGTGACGTATGAGCGTTTATGTCGTACAACCACAGTATTCATAAGTAAGGCCAGACTTTCTTTAAACTCAGCCAATATATTCGCAGATTCCAGTATATTTGCATACATAATGAAATGATGAAAAGCTGTAGGTCGAACAGGATTATGTAAAATGTTAAAAAAACAAATACTCATTTACTCCAAATGTAATGATATTATGTAAAATAATGTAATTAATACCTGGAAATCTATCTTCAAGATCTTTGTGCACTCATTTTCATGCTTAAAATTTTGAAAATGTCCAGAAAAAGTGTCTAAAATGTCTTAAGTTGTGGGCCTTTTGCCTGTACCACACCACGCAAATAGTCTGGCCTAATGTATTACCTCAAAAGAAAATGCTGAAAGACATATTTTTTTTTCACCTCATGTTTTATGAAATCAAAGTTCCTGCTGAATGACCTGAACTGTTCTCCAACACATATAAAGGCAAAAACATCCATCATGCTGAATGTATAGGGCGATCTGTGTAAATCTAGGTTACCTGTTTCCTACCTCAAGCAGCAGTAGAGTGTGTGGGCAAAACAAACATAAACACATCAGTAAATTGTTAAAATGTGAAGTTTTTTTGCTAGTTATGTTTCTAAATTCATGAACTTGCAAAGTTTGAAACACTTGGTCTTTAAACTGATCCATTCATGACTCTGATGGAGTCACTTTATGTCAGAGGTAATTATTTTCTTAATATAGCTAAACACCAATCATGTTGACCTGGGGGTTTATGAGTTTGCGATTGTTTGTACTTTTCTTTAATATCATTGTGACATTAATTGGGGGGTCGGTGGGGTAGCCTAGTGGTTAAAGCGTTGGCTCGTCACGCCGAAGACCCGGGTTCGATTCCCCACATGGGCACAATGTGTTAAGCCCATTTCTGGTGTCCCCCCCCGTGATATTGCTGGAATATTGCTAAAAGCGGCGTAAAACTAAACTCAGTCAGTCAGCCAGACATTAATTGGTTTTTTTTTGTATTATATTTAGAACACTACATTCCTCCATGACTAGTGTTCAGAAGCTCTTCTATCTAAACTAATAATTATTTAAAAAAGTAAAGTTTTAATAGTAGTCCTGAGCCATTTGCAAATGGTTGAGCTGGACTGCTGAGCTCAAAGATGTTTGAATAGCTAGCGGGAAATGGACGAGTTTGAGAGCCTGATTTTGTTGGTGTGGTCAAAGACTGGGGTTGTCTAACCTAGAATTATACATTACTGGTGTAAGTGTACCAACCAAGTCAAACTGTTTGTATTAGTATGGAAGTGTGAATGGGGCATTGTTTATTTTACCATGGTTACATTGCTGTGGTAGATGCTAAGTGGCATTCAGATTATGTGTGAAGATAATAAAGGCTGTTATCATTACAAATTGTTGTGTTTGTGTCTATAGAAGTTAAGGAGTTACAGACAAGACCGGTTTTTAATGTAACAAAACACATCACTGATACCTTATACAAAGTCAAGCAAATAGACTGATGCCAAAAATATGCATTTCCCACAGTAACATAATAGAACTATTAACCTGTTTGCCACAATAAGCTTGGTTTGACCACTTCTAAATGGCATTGCCCTGCAAAGTTACACTTGTGAAGTAGATGATCTACACAACCAGGCATCAATTTTTTTTAAGCAGATGCGGTGGCTGAGTGGGTTAGATCACTGACTGTGTGTTTGTGATTAGGTGCCTGACTCAGAGAATGTGGGTTTGAACCCCTGGTATTGAGGGCTTGTCCAACCTTTTTAGCAACAATCATATGTAAACCCAGGCTTTTTTAATATTGGTAGCTACGCCCCTGTAAGAGGCGCCTTCATGGATTATGCTGCCAGTCTCAGTGATGTAAATGATTGTTCCACCATATCCTTCCAAGTGATTGTTGCATTCTGCCTTCAGCTTCAATAATGTCTGAAATCTGGCGTACTTCATCATCTATCTGTTCATGGCCAAACTCGGGCAAAAGCGCCTTTGGGTAATTCCAATCTGAATCTTGCGCTAAACCTCGTGACAATCTGTGGATAATGATTTTGGGATTTTGCCAGCTGTTCCCCTCTGTAAACAATAATATTGTGTGGATGTCAGAGAGGCCATGAAGATACCGATTAGAATTTGTCTTCAGCAACCCATGCTGGTCGTTAAACGTGACTAATGGGATGTGTGGTCAGGCTCGCTGACGTGGATGACGTCATGGTATCCCAATTGCGTAGATCGATGCTCATGATGTCCATCACTGGATTGTCTGGTCCAGTCTCGATTATTTACGGCTGCCGTCATATAGCTGGAATATTGCTGAGTGCGGTGTTCAACATCAAACAAACAAAAACACCCCTTTTGTGGCTCTAAAAGTCTCACACTGGTTCCAAGTGATGTTTGGCCTAATGTGTTGAGGACAGGTGCGAGTCCCACGATGGTGTCGTCGTGATTGATTGGCTGCCAGCAGTTCAGGTCTGTTATTGTGGATAGGTACAAATTGGAGCTGAATAATACTGTAAACATGGTCAATAGTTTTATCCTGTTCAATCAGGACTAGCTACAGCCTCCGAGGATAAGTCAAAGACTTACACTAGTTCTATACAGAGTAACCTTCAAGTCTGGAAGAAGTCGCGAAACCAAACTTGTCCTCTTCCTCGGAGAGCGAAGATCATCTCCTCAGACTTCAATGGTGCCCACAAACCGAACAGCAATTGCTCCATCACTTCTTAGAAAACCCCGTGCTTTATAAGGTTTATGCTAGTTTCAAATAAATACCTTCTCACCCTGCAACACATGAACAGTTCAACTGTTCTTCAAAAGGAAGATCCACAAAAGATGTGTTTTCAGACACGTTTCCGGACATCAGTATCCAACAAATATATTTTATCGAAAGCGATGTTGTTTTTAACGAAGTTATCCCATTAAGACGATTATTGTTTATTCCCCTTCTAGAAAGCGTCAACGGGGGCAAGTAGTATGCACGTCGTCCCGACGTTCGATTCCTCGTATAAAGGATAAACAAGGAAAAGATAAACGTGTATAACAAACATTAGGGGAGGGTATAATTAACTTTAATCAGGACATCAAAAACCTTCCACAATCTATTTTCACAGCTTCATTCAGCAATCACCGTCATCAAACAATATATCATTTCACCATGAACAAAAAAAGAATTACGTTTGAGTATTTCACCAACAAACTATTAATTGGTTTCGCCACTGCCAACAACCTTTTCATTTAGGACATATTGCTAATATACATCTATATTAAAAAACTGCGTCGTCATGTCGAAAAACGGGTTCGATTCCCCACATGGTACAACGGGTGAAGAACAGCCCTACTACCCTGTGACGCGATATTATTGGAATATTGCTAAAAGCGGCGTAAAGCGCAACTCACTCACTCAATGTTGTGTCATGCTCTGGCATCACGTGATCCGATGACAACAGTTATAGTGAATAACGGTGATAATCTGGGTGACAACAACGGGTGAAGATAAACCACTCATCAAATGTCAATCAAACACCCCTGACGTTATGACACTTCCCCTAAAAGCTGATAAAATCCCGATAAGACAACACCCAACATCGAAACCCTGGGGATTCATCCGGTCCTCCTCGTACTGGGGATAAATAATTGTGAGATTTGAGAGGGACTGCCTCATTGATGTTTGTTGGTTTATTTGGATACCTTAACAACAAGGGACTAAATCTGCTTTCGTCAATAATATGTATAACGGAGAACTAGTTTTGGAGAGGTTTTGATACATAAATTAAGAATAATGTAACTTGTGAATTGATATACGAGCCACAATAAATTTTCGCTTGAAAGATGAAGGAATGGTCCCTTCACTTATCTGTTCAAAAGTTCTTGTACACCAAATATTTCACTTTTAAATTTCACTGGGTCACATTGGGAGGGATTGCTGAGCGTCTTCGAGCGGCAAGAAGACTAATTCCGAATTTACGAACAAGGTGAGTTATAAATACTTCATAGTTTCATAAATTTTTTCATGCTCATAAAATTCGACTGCTGCTCGTCTGCTGTATATTCAATTTTTTAATATCATTTCATTTTGAAATCTGAATTTGAACAGACTGTGTAATCTATACCGGATAAAAGGTAACATATATGGGGTTTTTTAAAATTCAGATTACATACACACTGCATAAGATTACGTGTTTTGATTTTAGTTAAGCAAAGGAGAATGCTGTCACATGTTTCCGTGTGAGGTTGGTAAGAGCAGCGGCTTAGTCACTACGCAGCCCAGAAAGCAAGAGCTTACACTCTAAATCGTTACACAAATACAATAATGTTTTAGAAAAAACGCACTGTATGGTGCTTGTTAGCCAGTGGTATGGCGTTTACAGTTAACGTGATCACACATAAACAATCTCTACAAAGTATGTCATTATCGACATTAAATAAATATGTAATTAGTAATTTTAAAAATACACTGTAAAGAGACACACATTCTCGCGCCCGTACAGGTAACCATATCTCTTGAGACCAAGCCGTAAATAAATGAATTTCACGAGGATGTATTGAAACACGTATTTAGAATTTGAGAACAAACTATGTTTATCTATGTTTATCACGGATATTATTCATAAGTAGACATACGTGGGATATCTACCTGCAAACAACTACGTGTAACTAAGCGTGATCAAATAAAGTAAAAGTGTGCGAGCGAGCTAATACAGTTTGTAGCGGCTGTTAACATTAACTATTATAAACTTATCTCCCTTTGAAATAGTCGGCATATGTAAAAACTTTTTTGATTAGTCAATCGGCGAATGAGACTTGTCATCTGATTGGTGACTTTTGGGAATACTAATGTCCTATGGCAAGATGAAGACAGGTAAACAAGCCTGTATTTTTGTTTGATAAGGCCGCTCGGCGCTGTGCTGATATTATATCAGAATGTAAACCGACAGGGAAGTGTGCGTAGTGCAGTCGTTATAAATTTTGTGATACATTGCGCTTAGTTTTCCAAATAATGTTGATTACAGGTGTGTGTTGACATATCGTGTCGGCCATTGCATTTGTGACACTGACAGGTCCAGCCAAGTCCGAGTCTTGCACAATGAACTGGTGATCGTCGAACATGTGGAATTCATGTTGCATGGTCATGATCTATATTTCTCACGTTAAGACGCTTTCAAAAAGTTGTTTAAGTGTACGTTCACAGGTAACGCGTGGGATATTAACCTTTGAAAATATATTTGATGTCGAAATATCTGAATGAATATTAAAATAGGGGGTATAAATTACATAAATAGAATCAAAATCGAAACAGATTTCACTGGTTACATGTGTTTTACATAAAGAAAAAAATGTTCAAACCACTGAACTCAAGATTCTGACGTGTCTTCCAACCTATGTTGGTCGAAAGAGGAGATTTGGGTGGTCATGGTTGCTGGTATCCCATGTTTCAATCACTGGAATGTCTGATCCAAACTCAAATATTTACATGGTTCTGTAATATATCACACAAACACCCACACAAAACATGCTCAATGGTATAGTTATTGTGAATAAGATAGCTAGCAGAGTTATTATCTTATTCCTTTCCGGCACCTGTGGTGTAATCACTGGGTGATAGTTAGTGTCATCGACTCAACGAACTTGGTTTTAGACTGGCTAGGGAGGACCTAGTTGACAACCAGTTGAATCACCTTGCTTTCTCATATATTTGGGATTATGCTTACCCAAAACTGTCAAACTTGTATATGTGTGTAAATATATATATGTATAGTTAAGTATTTCAGTATACAGCAATTGCACGTACATCATTTTGGCAACAATGAAGTTTAGTTAGTATAACAATTACTATTCCCTTTCAGTCATCCATGTTTTATGGTATAAGGCCTACAAGAATTAGTTAGTGGTGGCAGCAGCACTCAGATTACCTTGACTATGCAAAATAACTCAATAAAATTCACCCCTGCCTCTGAGGGTGTCAAGGATATACATGTGTAGCAACCAGCTGTTCCCAGTAAGCATTTCTCATGTCAGTTGCAATTATTGAATCTAAGATTGGACTATGAATATGTTCAATGTGGTGAATGTCTTGCATGTTATGTAATATGCATGTGACGACACAATGAGAAAGCAATAACCAGTTGAATTTCAATAACAATCAAAGGATTTACCAATCATATGTTGATTGATTAATCGGTGTTATTTTGCACAGTGGATTTGTCAAAAATGTATCTATTGTGGGTTTACTACAGCAGACGAAATACAACTATATCTTGGCACCTTTCTAAAAACAACATACTGTATTCAAAGGATTAGCCAGTAATATGTTAACTGACTGTTGATTGATGTCTAATGAAATTTACTTTTTTAAACAACCATAGATATCATAAAAACTGATGTCATGTGTGCTATCTTAGCTCACCAATGACACATGACACTGATGTGTAACAGCTGAAACAAATTTACATGATCATTTGAGAGATAAACGGGTTATATATAAAATCCAAAAATGCAGGGATATTTTTAAATATTAAATTGTTATGGGACATTGAACAAGTTTCTTTGTATCGCTTAAGATGCATTGGATATTGTTCCCATTTTTTCTTATCCTGACTCATGATCTTTTGCTTATCTCCCTTTTCGTGGGAATGGTAGTGGAACACTTGAATCCCTTGAAGTTCCCGAAGCAGACGTAAAAGGCCTGCTGTGACCGTTGCAGGAGACGATCTAGTAGTCGTGGAAGTCGATTGATTTGCCGATCTAGTAGGTACTTCGGGTAGAAGTAAAGGGGGATCATAAAATTTTTTTACTTCATGCAGAGGTAATATCTCTTCGTTGAAGGATTTCTGATGCGTTGACTTACTAGGCCGCGTAGATTTACCCTCCGATCTGGTAACAGATGCTTTCTTCTGCGACTTAGAAGAAGACGACGTCTTTTTCTTAGCTTGAGTCGGAGTCAACTGCGTTGTAGCCGATCTCTTCTTGGCCCCCGTACCAGCAGACTGCCCCGGCAACGTACTCAACATAGCACCAGTATTATGAATCTCCGCAGTAGCAATCAACATACGGTTTGCAGGCTGATCTCCTGTTTTATCAGCCGTGACTTGAGATGACTTCCTCGTCCGATCCATGGCACGTCTATAGATATAAGCCAAATATTGATTAAATTGTAGATTTGATAAATCAACACAATAAGTACAGCGCAAGCTGGAAGAACATGGTTTTATGCACGAAAGGCATTGGGGGTGAGGATCAGCCATGGATAACCTGTGCCTGCAAACACTGCAAGATTTCATGAAATGTAAACAAAGTTACATAACGATGAAATTGTGACAAAAATACAAATAATTTTTACAAATTGTTTACATATAATACATAATAGTTATTGCCAAATCCATATACAGCGTAATTTTGAAGAATAGGACCTAAATAAAAAGGATATAATGCTGTATACGGGACTCCAACTCGCCCAACCATCCACTTGGGCGAAAAGGGAGTGAGTGACAAGTAAGGCTGGTCACATGACTGTTTACGTGGGAAAAGGGAGGTAACTCGTGGGTGAGTGTATTTTTACGTCCGCTTCGGGAACTTCAAGGGATTCACGTGTTCCACTACCATTCGCAAGAGAAAGGGAGATAAGCGAAAGATCATGAGTCAGGATAAGTATAAAAATATCAATTTTACTTTCAAAAATTCATTTTTGTGGATATTTTCCTTGAACAAGGTAACTGTCTGATATTATACATATACATCATGTAACATGTAACTTCTTTTGGTTGTAATTTATGAGAACATACATTCACACAGTTATCTCTATGTCTTTCTACAACTATGCCTAGCAGAACCGAAAGTGCAATGTAAATGGTAAATTATCATTGATAATTTATCTCAGATTTCACATTTTATTGACAAATTTTGTTATTACCTGTTCATTTACCTGGAATCTCTGAAAGGATTCTGTGTAACACATGTTATATTTGGGATTACACTTTATCAGTAAAGTACAGATTCTAGTACTTTTGTTCATTTGAGTCCCATACTGTGTAGTTTTTTTACTGTGAATAATAATGAAGTTCACCGATAGCTTCACAGTTTAAGTCTTGTAAGTATTAATCAACAACAAAAACATAGATAGACAGTAGTTTATTAATGTCACACTTCTGTGCACAGATAAAATACACATACATTTGTACATACAATTCATTTATAAAAAAACATTCAAAGGAACCATTAAAAAAAACAGAATTATGAGAGACATATGTCAGTCTGTCTGTACCTCTTTATTGTATATACTTTGTTATCATGTTATATTATAGACAGCTTCTCATTAATCTTTGATCATCCGATAGCTGTCACTTTGCACAGCCCAACAACACAAGTAAAACCTGTCAAGATAATAGTCCATGATAAGCAAATTTGTATTTAGCGAAGAAACAGACTGATCCATATTTCAATGCTTTTAACGTTTGTGTTTTCTTTCCCTTTCATAATTCTCCATATATAATTCATTGTCTAAAACCATGGATTCTTTACTGAAAGGTATGCACCTTCTTGTATTAGCTGTGTACCTGTAAACTAGCAATCCCTGTAGTACCCTTCTGCTTATTACAGCCATAAAGATATGATGTGTTGATTATTGATGCATATCTTTGAGAGTAAGGCCATCATTCATATTTCATTGAATATTTAACTAATCAAAAGTTGAACATTTCGGGGATCCCTAGGTTAAAACGTTGTAGGAGTAATCCTTGAGTACACTGCATTCCTGCCAACTGTTATTTTTCAGGCAGTTAAGCTGAGTGCCAATGCTTGTAGGCCTCTTGTGTCCATGATGTAGAGGGGCACTCACAAGCAGGCCCTTATCCATCCATTCCGTCCGTCCACTGATAATATGCCTAGCATGGAGAAGAGGAGGAGGAGTTCGCCAGATCCAGATCAGTAAGTTCCCCTCAGAACCAGGAAGAGGCTTACCATATTACATCAGTTTAACTCAAGGCCTTGGAGTACAGATTTTTATTTATGTTACGAGTGAGTGAATTAGTTTTACGCTGCTCTTAGCAGTATTCACGGCTAGGAACACCAGAAATGGGCTTCACACATTGTACCCATGTGGGGAATTGAACCCAGGTCTTCAATGTGAGGTACAAATGCTTTAACCACCAGGCTACCCCTCTGCCCCTTATGTTTCAAACAAAATTGTCTTCATAATCTCCAAATGGCAATGTTATTGTCACTTGTCATAGAGCAGGTACATGAGCTGATTTCAGTAACATACATCCATGTTACTGAAAATTGTTAATGATTCCTGTGATCTCTGTGGTGATGTGAAAAATAGGGGTTTAGAGACAAGAATTTGAAAATTACGACTGAATATGATGGTGATACACAAAAGGCTTTTGTATTTAAAAAGTGGTCAGATATGTCTCCGCAGATGGGTACAAGTTGTGAAGCTTATTTATGGTGTCCCTTGTCATGATGTTGATGGAAAATTGCTAAACACGGCGTAAAACTGAATTCTCTCTCTCACACTCACTCACTCATTCACTCAGATATGTCTGCTTGAATGATAGATATGACACCATACATTGCAGTTTGCTCTGTCTGTTCTAGAGAGCCCAAGGATCTGTGTCGGCTCCTCAGTCTGATCTCAACTCCAGCCAGCAAACAACAGGTAGTGACAGAATCATTTACAGTGTCTTGTTTCAAGATGTATCATGATCTTAATTTGTGTGACACCAAATCAAAATGATCTTATAATTCAGCAAAATGTATTTTGTTAGGTAAGTGATAAGAGAGATGAAGGTTACAAGATCCAAAGCAAGACTTTCAGTGGGTCAGTTTAGTTATCCAAATAGTATAGAAATATTATACATTGGATATAAATGAGTATGTAATTTATTTTCTAAATTTTCTCAGCTACCGTCCTTGAGCTATGAATCTTGTGACACTGGTTCTCGGGGAGACAAGTGGCCACGCCCACAGCCCAAGTCAGGATCTCATCAGCACCAATCTACTGAGGCAGTGGCACTGGAAACATTCAGGTAAACTCTCGTTACCATGGTTTCTAATGTCTAAACATGCTTATTGTATGGCAGCATTTGGTAGGTTATTACCATCACTGTTAACTAAACCCATCTGTTACACAGATAGTATTCACACAATTAAAGACAAATTAAGTCACCTTGCTCATCTAGTGTCATGGGAATTAGAAGTTGAGTAGGTCCCCAGCAATATATGCCTATCGCATAGGGCAGCTTACTTGATCAGGTGGTGAGGCTCAGTGATTTGACTGATTGTGATTCATCGGACAAAAGTTTGATAAACCATAAGATAAGAACAAATAATATTTTGCTGTGTTTGATTTCTTGCAGTCAGAGGTACCAGAATGAGCGCCACTTCAGTGTCCACCCACAACATGCCAGGTTTACAGAAATTTTCTCATCCCTCACCAAACACAGACTGTGTTGCAGGTAAGTTACAGATTCATTCTTGTGGCTATTCTGATAATGAAGAATTGGTCCCAAGTGGCAGTGGCTGTGTGTGTGATTGTGTATTGGGTGGTCAGACTCACCAGCAGTGGCTGTGTGTGTGGTGGTGTATTGGGTGGTCAGACTCACCAGCAGTGGCTGTGTGTGTGATGGTGTATTGGGTGGTCAGACTCACCAGCAGTGGCTGTGTGTGTGATTGTGCATTGGGTGGTCTGACTCACCAGCAGTGGCTGTGTGTGATGGTGTATTGGGTGGTCAGACTCACCAGCAGTGGCTGTGTGGTCAGATGCAGTGGCTTGGGTGGTCAGGGTGGTCTCACCAGCAGTGGCTGTGTGTGATGGTGTATTGGGTGGTCAGACTCACCAGCAGTGGCTGTGTGTGTGATGGTGTATTGGGTGGTCAGACTCACCAGCAGTGGCTGTGTGTGTGATGGTGTATTGGGTGGTCAGACTCACCAGCAGTGGCTGTGTGTGTGTGCATGGTCAGGCCCACCAGCATTGGGTGGTCAGACTCACCACCAGCAGTGGCTGTGTGTGTGATGGTGTATTGGGTGGTCAGACTCACCAGCAGTGGCTGTGTGTGATGGTGTATTGGGTGGTCAGACTCACCAGCAGTGGCTGTGTGTGTGATGGTGCATTGGGTGGTCAGACTCACCAGCAGTGGCTGTGTGTGTGATGGTGTATTGGGTGGTCAGACTCACCAGCAGTGGCTGTGTGTGTGATGGTGTATTGGGTGGTCAGACTCACCAGCAGTGGCTGTGTGTGATGGTGTATTGGTGGTCATGCAGGGTGTGTGTGATGGTGTATTGGGTGGTCAGATCACCAGCAGCGGGTGTGTGGGTGACTCACCAGCAGTGGCTGTGTGGCTGTGTGTGTGATGGTGTATTGGGTGGTCAGACTCACCAGCAGTGGCTGTGTGTGATGGTGTATTGGGTGGTCAGACTCACCAGCAGTGGCTGTGTGTGTGATGGTGCATGGGGTGGTCAGACTCACCAGCAGTGGCTGTGTGTGTGATGGTGTATTGGGTGGTCAGACTCACCACCAGCAGTGGCTGTGTGTGATGGTGTATTGGGTGGTCAGACTCACCAGCAGTGGCTGTGTGTGTGATGGTGTATTGGGTGGTCAGACTCACCAGCAGTGGCTGTGTGTGTGTGATGGTGTGTGTATTGGGTGGTCAGACTCACCAGCAGTGGCTGTGTGTGTGATGGTGTATTGGGTGGTCAGACTCACCAGCAGTGGCTGTGTGTGTGATGGTGTATTGGGTGGTCAGACTCACCAGCAGTGGCTGTGTGTGTGATGGTGCATGGGGTGGTCAGACTCACCAGCAGTGGCTGTGTGTGATGGTGCATGGGGTGGTCAGACTCACCAGCAGTGGCTGTGTGTGATGGTGTGTGTGTGATGGTTGGGTGGTCAGACTCACCAGCAGTGGCTGTGTGTGATGGTGTATTGGGTGGTCTGACTCACCAGCAGTGACTGTGTGTGATGGTGTATTGGGTGGTCAGACTCACCAGCAGTGGCTGTGTGTGATGGTGTATTGGGTGGTCAGACTCACCAGCAGTGACTGTGTGTGGTGGTGTATTGGGTGGTCAGGTTCACCAGCAGTGGCCATATTTTCAGGTAAGGGGCTTGGACTTTTTATCAAGTAGATACTGAACACTTCTTATCATCATTCATTATCCACCACACAGAAGGTAGTTGCATGTGTGTCACCAGTTCAGGGTAAATGAACCATTTCTTACAACGTGTCTGAAAATGGCATATTTTCAGTTCATTGTCTCCATTTCAGTGAGTGGACAATACGAGCTCCTCCTGAAAACATTCTCCGTGTTTTGATCTGCGTCCGGATCTTGATGCGAGACTCAACATACCAGAAACAATTTTTTCAGCTAGGAGGTGTCAAGCACCTGTCTGAGGTAAGTTCATTCCTTCGATATGGTGGGCCGTAATATATAATTATAAAATGTTTCACCTTAGATAATTATATATGAAAATACTGAGTGTTCCTATTTGCTTTACTTGATGATATATACTGCATCATGATATATAGTCCAACCAAACATGGAAACATTCACGCTTGATGTGAATCATATTTGTTGACAGTTTATGTTCACATATGATCACTTCAAAATGAAAACAGGCAAATGCCACCTATCTTACAGTTGTTACAGGTTTGAATGAGAATCTAATTATCAATTCAATTGTCAACTTAAAATTATAAGGACACCTTGTTTGAGTAGATTTCCAGTGCGCCCCCCACCCAACTGCCACCCCTGTAATCATCTGTTATGCCTACATATGGGACCCATTAATGGTCTCCTTTTGAAAGAATGAGTCCATATTAACAGGCATTTATGGATAGTGCATTCAGATATGTGTATCTATTGTTCATACACAGCACTTCAAGAAGGCCACAGACAGTTACCTGAGGTTTGGGGATGAACCCTTCCTGCTGGAGATACTGAAGGAGATGACAAGTAAGTTGCAGGTTGACAGTAGAGGTGTGAAAACACATGATATTAGCATATGTGATATAGTACATAGTTGTCTAAACAATATTTCAACATGTCTCTATAGATGGTATGTGATATATTGTGTATGTACAATGACATACATACACAATGTTCACAATTAAGGTGGCCGTTGAATTCTGGCATCCTTCGGGTATTTGAATCTGGGGAGGCCAAAAATCTTTCACGCATAATGTTAGGATTTCTTTAACACTGCACTCAGCAGTTTTCCTGTTATATCATATCAGTCTGTAAATAATCAAGTCATGTGATTGACATTAAAAAGTCAAGTGATTGACATCATGAGCACCTTTGTGGGATATGATGGCATGCATCAACCAAGTCAACAAGCCAGACCACCAATCCAATTCCATTTGTTGTCTCTTGTTACAAACATTTGTTGAGAAGTACAATTCAAATCCTAACAATTCATTTGAAGTTTGAAGTCTTCATTTGAAGTTATTGTTTGCACATATATTGTGGAGTCTACATGTAGGTGTGCCTACAGCAGGATATTATTCCATTAACATAACAACATCATTCCACTGAGTTTCATCATTCATAATATTGAACACTGCATGCACAATAACTCAAAATATCCTTTCCATCACTTATTTTCTTCTCAGGAAGGCATGATATAGTTTCCTCATAGATGCTCTTATATTGCAATGGCACCTGTTTTAAATTTTTTATTTTATTGTGTCTGTCCAGATATATTCCAGAAGTTGTCTGCAGTGACGGAACAGAGGGAATGGCTGGTGGCTTGTGAAGCCCATCAGGTGGGTACTCTTTCCCTGACTGCAATCTATGCTTAGTTCCAGATTAGTCTGAAATTGATTTTCAGTGTTTAACCTCCAACAGAAGTAGGAAATACAAAAATCGACAAAATTTTGATTGTTTAAAAATTGTTGCAGTGGTTTTTTTTCCATCAACACGCCATTGACACCATGATTGAAGAATTCTGTCCCTTGTCATCTGAACCACACTATTGCTTTGAAACAATAAAGAAGTTGAAATCCTCAAGTCAAGTGATGATACATTCTCTTCCCACAGAGGTTACTTGTCATATCTTCCTACGAACCTCTGTTCTAATACGGCCATATTTCCCGGTTCTCGTAAAATCCCCTAGCGGCAAAAGATTGCAACACGAATTATCTCCCTTCTTTCTATCCAATCAGAACACGTGTTACATCGACTTAGATTCAACTTGACTAACACAAGCAAATGTGAGGCCACAAATATCCCCCATCTGCCGGGGACTTGTGTTGATGTTACACACAAGACGTTTAATGGCTAGCTTGTCCGTTGTCAACGAGGGCGATGGAGACGCCACTGATCCGCCATAATATGACTAAGTTCTGTCTAGCAGAAACGTTTGCGCATCGCGCAGGGGAAGAGGTTTAGTTTTCCCGGAAGTATACGGAAATTACTGAGGCCTTGCGAATGATCACTTTTGAAACAACGTCGCTGATTGCACAACTAAATCTGATTGCCTCCAATCACGAGTCTTGAACGCTCACACCATGAAAGGGCCGTATTAGAACAGAGGTTACGTAGGAAGATATGACAGGAGTAACCTCTGTGGGAAGAGAATGGTGATGATATTACAGCTACAAAATTTAAGACAATGTTCAGCTGACACTTTTATTACACGTAGTGGTAAAGTCGATCTTGTCTTCCTTATAGACCCTGGTTCTCCTGCTGGCTGCTAGCGATGTGTTCGTTCTTCACTCCTCTCTGTATGCACTCATTGGACTTGCTCAGAGGTAAATATTTCATATATTAGTTTTTTCAGAAAATCAGCATTTTCAAATTGCTTTCAGTGGCATACAAATAAGTGAAAGAGGATACACCATTTTTGGTCGTGTTATAAGAAAAGATTCACCATTACTGGTCCTCTTATAAGAAAGGATTCACCATTACTGGTCTCTTATAAGAAAGGATTCACCATTACTGGTCCTCTTATAAGAAAGGATTCACCATTACTGGTCCTCTTATAATAAAGGATTCACCATTACTGGACCTCTTACAAGAAAGGATTCACCATTACTGGTTGTGTTATAAGAAAGGATACACCATTACTGGTCCTCCTATACAAAAGGATTCACCATTACTGGTCCCTTTGTAAGAAAGGATTCACCATTACTGGTCCCCTTATAAGAAAGGATTCACCATTACTGGTCCCCTTATAAGAAAGGATACACCATTACTGGTCCCCTTATAATATAGGATATACGTTACTGGTCCTCTTATAAGACAGGATTCACCATTACTGGTCCCTTTATAAGAAAGGATATTGTCCTCTTTACTGGTCCCCCCTTAGAAGAAAGGATATTCATTACTGGTCCTCTTAGAAGAAAGGATTCACCATTACTGGTCCTCTTAGAAGAAAGAATATACATTACTTGTCCTCTTATAAGAAAGGATATACATTACTGGTCCTCTAAGAAGAAAGGATTCACCATTACTGGTACCCTTATAAGAAAGGATTCATCATTACTGGTCCTCTTATAAGAAAGGATTCACCATTACTGGTTGTGTTATAAGAAATGATTATAAGAAAGGGTCCCCTTGTAAGAAAGGATTCACCATTACTGGTCCTCTTATAAGAAAGGATACACCATTACTGGTCTTCTTATAAGAAAGGATTCACCATTACTGGTCCCCTTATAAGAAAGGTTTCACCATTACTGGTTCTTTTGTAAAAAGGGATACACCATTACTGGTCCACTCATAATAAAGGGTATACGTTACTGGTCCCCTTATAAGAAAGGATACACCATTACTGGTCCTCTTATAAGAAAGGATTCACCATTACTGGTCCTCTTATAATAAAGGATTGACCATTACTGGTCCTCTTACAAGAAAGGATTCACCATTACTGGTCCTCTTATAAGAAAGGATTCACCATTACTGGTTGTGTTATAAGAAAGGATACACCATTACTGGTCCTCCTATACAAAAGGATACACCATTACTGGTCCCCTTATAAGAAAGATTTCACCATTACTGGTCCTTTTGTAAGAAAGGATACACCATTACTGGTCCACTTATAATAAAGGATATACCTTACTGGTCCCCTTATAAGAAAGGATTCACCATTACTGGTCCCCCTTATGAGAAAGGATACACCATTACTGGTCCCCTTATAAAAAGGATATACGTTACTGGTCCTCTTATAAGACAGGATTCACCATTACTGGTCCTCTTATAAGAAAGGATATACATTACTTGTCCTCTTATAAGAAAGGATATACATTACTGGTCCTCTTAGAAGAAAGGATTCACCATTACTGGTCCTCTTAGAAGAAAGGATATACATTACTTGTCCTCTTATAAGAAAGGATATACATTACTGGTCCTCTTAGAAGAAAGGATTCACCATTACTGGTCCTCTTAGAAGAAAGGATTCACCATTACTGGTCCTCTTATAAGAAAGGATTCACCATTACTGGTTGTGTTATAAGAAAGGATTATAAGAAAGTGTCCCCTTGTTAGAAAGGATACACTTTTACTGGTACCCTTATAAGAAAGGATTCACCATTACTGGTCCCCTTATAAGAAAGGATTCACCATTACTGGTCCTTTTATAAGAAAGGATACACCATTACTGGTCCACTTATAATAAAGGATATATGTTACTGGTCCCCTTATAAGAAAGGTTTCACCATTACTGATCCTTTTGTAAGAAAGGATACACCATTACTGGTCCACTTATAATAAAGGATATACATTATTGGTCTTATAAGAAAGGATGCACCATTACTGGTCCTCTTATAAGAAAGGATTCACCATTACTGGTCCTCTTATAAGAAAGGATATACATTACTGGTCCTCATATGAAAAAGGATATACATTACTGGTCCTCTTATAAGAAAGGATACACCATTACTGGTTGTGTTATAAGAAAGGATACACCATTACTATTTGTTTTCCAGCCCCAAGCCGAGGCAGCTGATTGGTGAACTCAGTTATTGTATAGAGATACTTCTTCGCTTCATACAGGAGTATGATACCTTGTCAAAAAAGTAAGTGTTGGAGTACATTAGTACAGCTGATTTAGAAAAGGATTATTTTCGATCTTGATCAGATCTTTGATAGGCATTTTTGATAGAAATAAATTAAAAGTACATAAGAGCTTATTCTTTGGGATGTCAGCTCCTTGGCTTGCAGCATGGAGAATAATGGCATACATTACATTTCTCCATTACCCGTAAACAGATACAACATATACTGTGTAATTTACTCATGAGTCTATTTAAACCTGTTAATGACATTGGGACATGTATGATTCATGTATAACTCATTCATACTGAACGTAATTCCCACATGAAGTATTGTTACAGAAATTCAAAAGTATAATAAACTCTTTGCCGTCATGTTTATGAAAAATTTCCAGGTAACTGCTTTTCAGTTGTATCTGTGTATATGTTTCAGGCTGTCAGCTAGTCTATTGCGGTACCTGTGTGCTGATGCTCAAAGCAGGGACCTGGTCAGGTTGTACGATGGGGTCCCGATCCTGCTCAGGTAATAACATTCATCTCAGGTTATTGCATCATCTCAGGCCATTTACTTCATCTCAGGTAATTACATCATCTTAGGTCGTTTACATTACATTATCTCAGGTCATTACATCATCTTAGGTCGTTTACATCATCTCAGGTCATTACATCATCTCAGGTCATTTACATCATCTCAGGTCATTACATCATCTGAGGTTGTTTACAACATCTCAGGTCATTACATCATATGTCCTTTACATTACATTATCTCAGGTCATTACATCATCTTAGGTCGTTTACATTATCTCAGGTCATTACATCATCTTAGGTCATTTACATCATCTCAGGTCATTACATCATCTGAGGTTGTTTACAACATCTCAGGTCATTACATCATATGTCCTTTACATTACATTATCTCAAGTCATTACATCATCTTAGGTCGTTTACATCATCTCAGGTCATTACATCATCTCAGGTCATTAACATCATCTCAGGTCATTACATCATCTGAGGTTGTTTACAACATCTCAGGTCATTACATCATCTTATGTCGTTTACATTATCTCAGGTCATTACATCATCTCAGGTCATTACATCATCTGAGGTTGTTAACAACATCTCAGGCCATTACATCATCTTAGGTCGTTAACAACATCTCAGGCCATTACATCATCTGAGATTGTTACATCACAGGTCATTACATCATCTTAGGTCGTTTACACTATCTCAGGTCATTACATCATCTGAAGTTGTTTACATTATCTCAGGTCATTACATCATCTTAGGTTGTTACAAGATCTCAGGTCATTACATCATCTTAGGTCATTGACATTACATTATCTCACGTCATTACATCATGTAAGGTTGTTTGCATCATCTCAGGTCATTACATCATCTTAGGTCGTTTACATTATCTCAGGTCATTACATCATCTGAGATTGTTACATCTCAGGTCATTACATCATCTTAGGTCGTTTACACTATCTCAGGTCATTACATCATCTGAAGTTGTTTACATTATCTCAGGTCATTACATCATCTTAGGTTGTTACAACATCTCAGGTCATTACATCATCTTAGGTCGTTTACATTATCTCAGGTCATTACATCATCTTAGGTTGTTTACAACATCTCAGGTCATTACATCATCTTAGGTCGTTTAGGTCATTACATTATCTCAGGTCATTACATCTCAGTTCATTACATCATCTTAGGTCGTTTACATCATCTCAGGTCATTACATCATCTTAGGTTGTTTACATTACATTATCTCAGTTCATTACATCATCTTAGGTCGTTTACATTACATCATCTCAGGTCATTACATCATCTTAGGTTGTTTACAAGATCTCAGGTCATTACATCATCTTAGGTCATTACATCATCTTAGGTCGTTTACATTATCTGAGGTTGTTTACATCATATCAGGTCATTACATTATCTGAGGTTGTTTACATCATCTCAGGTCATTACATCATCTTAGGTTGTTTACATTATCTCAGGTCATTACATCATCTCAGGTCATTACATCATCTCAGATCTCAGGTCATTACATTATCTGAGGTTGTTTACATCATCTCAGGTCATTACATCATCTCAGGTCGTTTACATTATCTGAGGTTGTTTACATCATCTCAGGTCATTACATCATCTTAGGTTGTTTGCATCATTTCAGGTCATTTACATAATTTAAGGTCATTACATCACATGTCATTTCATCATCTCAAGTTGTTTACATTATTTCAGGTCATATTTTTTCAAGTTGTTTACATTGCTTCAGGTCATTTTCATCATCTCAGGTCATTTACATCATCTCAGGTCATTACATCATTTCAGGTCGTTTACATTATTTCAGGTTGTTTGCATTGCTTCAGGGCATTACATCATCGCAGGTCATTTGATCATATCAAGTTGTTTACATTACTTCAGGGCGTTTACTTCATCTTAGGCCGTTCTCAATTCTCAATATTTTAATTTACTTTTGTGAAATTTAGTCTTTGTGGGCCTGTTAACCAATGAATTCTGTGGACCTGTAAATCGGTTAATTGAAAATGGCTCTTCAGTGTGATTTAATGTCATTCCACCAATATAGAACTGTTCTAAGAGACCAGTGTACACTTGCAGCCAGCTGCACTCGGACAACGTGAACTTGTTATGGCATGTGGTGTGGTGTATTGTCCAGCTGTGCTCGGACCCGGACACCAGCAGCGACATCCGACAGCTGGGCGGGATCCCTCTTCTCCTCTCTCTGTTACAGTAAGTGTCTCACATGTAGTTCTTCCCATACAGTTACACCTTGCTTTACAGGAACGTATCAGCCCCTTATATCTTGACAAGAATTACATGCTGGGCAGATCACCACCACCATACCATGACGTCATTTGAGGCTCTGCTATTCAGTGTGTAGAGTGAGGCATGGCGAAAACGTGGCTGTAAACATACGAAGCCTGGATCACCTCGATGTGTCTAGGCTTGTTAACCACAAGTTGAAAATGTCCGAACCCTGCGTTGTTTCATGCTTTACTCCCACATCAAGCGTGGCGGTGGGGTGCCCTAGTGGTTAAAGCGTTCATCATGCTGAAGACCTGGGTTCGATTCCCCAGATAGGCACAATATGTGAAGCCCACTTCTGTTGTCCCTCATCATGATATTGCTGGAATATTGCAAGAAGTGACATAAAACTAAACTTGCTCACTCACTCCTACATCAAGCTGGCGTACATGATGTGATGGGAATATTCTTCAAAGCTGTGTTAAACACAACTCCCATTCTCAGCCAACTAGTGAGAATGTTTAATGTTAAGCAATACCTATATTTGTACAGTACACCAACAAAAAATACAAACCAGGTTTATCCAGGTCTATAACAACATAAAACAGAAGCCCTGATAATGGGAGGTAACTCTTGACTTCACAAACTTTCCCAGCCTTTAATACCTCTTGAACTACATAACTACTGCTTGGGCAGTGGACAAGGTATAGCAGGGGGCCTTTCGTATCTTCATTATTTAGAAAAATAGCATAAGGTTCAGAAATTGTTATGATAGTTTCCATTTTCAATGAACATAAGTGAGAACTAGCAGCCCTTTTCAATGCATGCTGATTTTAGGCTTACGTTAAGAGGTTTTCAGCAAGTATTTATATAATATTTTAACATGAAGCTAACCAAAAATGCACCAAAATTATTTTTTGCACTGAACAGAAGGCAGCCAATGGAAATGAACAGTTAAATTTGGTAGAAAATAGTAGCCAAACACCATTTCCTAATGACTAGACTAGGGGAGATATGCCATCTCCTAATCCTAACTATGTATTTATTCAGTGGCGTCCGTCCGTCCGTCCTGATTTTGTTAACGCAATATCTCATGAACTGTTGTATCCAATGTCTTCAAATTTGACGACAGCCTACATTGGGGGACTATTTAGACACCTGTCGATTTGGGTGACCTTGACCTTATCTGCAAGGTCACCATGACAGTTTGAACACTTTTAAAACTCTTGTTAACTCTACATCTCATGAACTGTTGTACCCAATGTCTTCAAATTTGGTGACAGCCTACATTGGGGGATTACGCAGACACCAGTTGACTTGGGTGACCTTGACCTTATCTTCAAGGTCACCACGGCACTTTGACCACTTTTCAAACTTATTTAAACGCGATATCTCATAAAACATTGCACCCAATGTCTTCAATTATGTCGACAGCCTACATTGGGTGATTATGCAGACACCAGTCATTTCAGGCATCTTGTATGTGACCCAAAAATAAAAAGTAGTAAATATAGATATTCCATTCTTAAGCGGCAGGGGTCATTGCCATATCAGAGGCAAACACTAACTTAAACTTTTTAGAAATCATTTCTGGAACAAAATGTTAGTTTAGGTTTTAATAAGCAATGAAACTGTCAATCTTTTATGCTAAGTATAAGGGGAGATAATCAAGTGTGTCATGTTTCAGTGACCGGACGTTTGTGACGGAGAGATCGGAGGCTAGTGATGGTGCAATGGCAAGTGCGGGAATACATGGCAGGACTCCGGCCATCTTAGATGCTGAGGTAGGTGTACAAACAGTTAATCAGTGTTCATTAACTTAATAGTGGATACCAGTCATTTCATCATGAAAATTATCAGTAATTTACACATGAACCATAAAACGTGTCATGTGTTCAAGTACCAATACATTTGAAAGCAGGATATTGTACATTATTTTAAATGTGTAATTTACTTATCATGCTGATAGATATCAGGTGTATTTTACTCCCAAAGCTGATGATATGACACACCTACCATGTGTTTTAAGTGACACAATTTGCCCTTGTCTGAGTAATATTCAATATTAATATAGGATATTTATATAGCGCACATATCCACGCAAATAGTGCATGCTCAAGGCGCTGAATATGTGGGATCCAATAAGAAATCCTGAGCAGTCCTGTTTTTAGGAAGAGGAGGGATGAGGTTGGCTTCATGATTTCACAATTGTGCAGTTGCATATGCAGGAGAAAGAAAAAGATTACTCCAAATGATCTCTTAGTGGAAATAAGAAGAGATGGGGCTTCAATATTGTGCCAGATTCATTCTGTCATGATATGGCATATTATAAGCTGAGGTTATGAGACTGTACAGAATTTTTCTAGACCCTCATTTTTGACAAGTGGCTAAAGTCACCTACTGTATACCAATGACACATATTGAAAAGTACCTGTGGTGGTGTGTGGTCCTGTGTGTAGAGCTCAGGTCACAGTCAGTTGAAGTTAAGCAACGTTGGGCGCAGAGAGTCCATGGATGGGTGACCATGTTTGGCAGCTTGACTCCTGAGAGTTTCTAGGACATCAGTCCTGCCCCACAATGAAGCACACATGATACATGTGGTCTTACTTTGGGCAAGTGAGTTTGTTCAAACTTGCCTCTGTCCACCCAGCAGTAAAATTGGGTACCTGGTATGATACGATGGTAGTCTGAATTTGAACCTTGAGTGCCTGACAGGCGACTGGTTGTATTCTCCACAGGGAGTGTTCTGTACTGGTTGACCAGGGATAATATGTCAGCGCTTTGTGCATGCAATGTGCATGGATAAATGCACAATATAAATGACTATTGCTATTACTATTATATATATATGATCCTACATCACCAGGGTATGGAGGGTTATGGAAGGGCAAAGCGTGGTAGGACCAAGGTGAGAAGCATGTGCCTTGGTTGCTGGGTGTGTGCTTGGTTGCCTTGTATGCAGGGGTCTGGTGTGCCGTGATTCATTGCTGTGTGGTTTATGGTGAGGTGGGGAGGGCTCACAAACTTGGTCTCTGACATTACTTTTAAGCATTTACTAATTTGTTTTCTACCTTAGCCTTAACAAACCCTTGTACCATTTGCATGTGACACAGATCTTATGCATCCCCTTGAACAATATGTTCAAGTTCATCCAAAGAATACCATTTAAATCTTCACTTGTAATACCTGTTATCAGGGTAATGCAACTTGTTGTGCTTTAATTTAACATGTCTTTGGAGTTCATGCAACATTTATCAGTGTTTTGATTTATAATATCTAAAGTTTATTGATCATGAGATTTTTGGAAAGGAAAATATAACACTGAAAGAAATGTCCAATTATTTTGCCTGTAACTGAAAACAAAATAGTAAATAAAACACTGATGTTCCATTTGTTGATGGACATTCTTATTAGATAATAATTATTCACCTGATGAATGAAATTTCCTCATGGCTATTAACCCCATCTGTCTGCCATTAATTATTTCATATTCACTTCCTGATTAACCTGGCATGCCTCAGTGTTTGCTTGTCATCTTACAACATTGCACCAACTGAGTCACTTTTGAAATGGAACCGTTCTAGAATGCATTTTAATGTACTTTGTTCCACAAGAGAGACATTTCTTATAAAAGTCTGGGTATAAAATGGTGCCCTGTGTGCTGAAAAACACTGCTGAATGAAACATACAATCCTGTGTGATTGTGCGTCTGTATGGCTTGGATCGTTGCTTCTGCTGGTAACAGCGAATTTGCCTTCCTCAGACATAATAACTCTCAGATACTGGAAAGTTACAGACTGTGTGTCTCATTGAAGTTGGATCTTTCCTCTGATGCAGTACCTCTCTTCTTGCAAGTGTCCACTGTGGTTTTGTTAGAATATTTCTACAATAACAATTGTCCCAATTACGCAGATCGATGCTCATGCTGTTGATCACTGAATTATTATATTTACAGACCGCCATATAGCTGGAATATTGCTGAGTGGGAGTAAAACTGAACTCACTCACTCACTGTTTGTAACATATTCAAGGAAGGATAACTCTCATCAGAGACCATGGTCTCTGCTCTCATCTATGTACAAGTAGAGATAACTCTTATCTGTGCCCAATACAAAGGGAAGATAACTCATAGCTCACACACCTTCAACTATTGGTTTATTTACTCAAGATGTTATCACTTTAACCATATATTTTTACAACTCTTACAGTTCTTACATTTTTCAGAAACATTATATTGTTAGATTTGTAATATATCACAATTTAATTATAGTATGCCTTACTCTGTGAATTAATGCTGTATCTCTTTCTTTTCAGCAAGAGGAGATCTTGTACAGGCAGTATGATCTCAAATCAGGTAACTTTTCTTCTGACATGTACAGCTCCTTGGGGATTCCAGGTTAGAACTGGTCCCAAATAACCCATGCTTGTCATTAAAGGCAATTTAAATGAACCACGGGTTCAGGTTCATTGGCAGTTATTCTCTGATGGTGGGATATGCTGCTTATCAACCACCCATTAATCTGGCCCAGGTTTGATTATAGGAAAGTCTGTGATTTCTGGCATATCACTGACTGTGGTGTAATACAACGAACATCAATTATTTTTTTTTATAATTTGTGGTCGCTATGAAGTTTTACATTATGGCTTTTGACGTAATTTGTAAAAAACATTCTGTGTTGAAGATTTTGTACTATATAGTGCTTTCTTGAGTTTTCCTGCCTAGTTAAGATACTGCTCTGTTTCCCACATTTCGTGTATGCAATGATATCTTCCTGTCCCAGCATGCTGTGCAGCGTTGACAGAGCTGGTCCTGGATGATACCAACGCTCAACAGATTGTCCAGGCTAACGGTGTCTACTCCCTCGGACTGCTCATCCTGCCTCACGAAGCTGGACACAAGGAGTCCAAGACGGTCGAGAAATTACAAGTATGTCCCACCTTTGTTTAGGAACAATATGAGACCACATTGAAATAATAAATTATAATAGTTTCATCCAAATCTGACATAATAAAGTTAAGAGGCAACTCTCTTATGTTTTGTAGGTTTTGTTTTATTGTTAAAACTACTGTTCTACTGTCTGTATGGTGAATCTTGACTGATATCATTCAAACAAAGTGCGAATGTTTGGTTGGAAATACTTGGTGTATGTCTCTTGTACATGTAGAATAGCACTAACAATGGAGACTTTGGGGCAGAATAATTATTTAGTGTGGTTAGTATTGAGGCAGCTTGAGTGTAAGTAAAATTATTTGTTACACTGCTATACTAACAAACCCTAGTAGAAGGTTGCGTCAGCTAACCTTTGAGCGATCTATGACTGTCCAATCAAACACAAGATGGCCGAACGGTTTTACCAATCAGCCATTTGCTACAAAATGACTTACAAAACGGATTTTCTCTTCCCCAGTAGTTGACACTGATCCTTCAACAAATGAAAACCCGCATATAAACACAGATATTTGACAGTATATATGCTTAGGGGTTTCTAATGACATGGTTACTATTAGCTTATTTTTCCGCATTGATGGCATCCTGGAATATGGACAAAAATGCTATTTTCAACGACTGTTTCCTCATTGTTGTGAATAATGGTGCCGTCCATGTGTATCACTTGGAAACGATCAGATGTATAATAGCATTCGGAATTGTTGGAGTACGGAAACGTTTTCGAGGTTAAACGACATGTGCAAATGTTAACTTTCGATTGGTAAGCTGTGTTCTGATTGGTAAATTAAAAAGGTTAGCTGATGCGACCTTCTAGTGGGGTTTGTTAGACTCAGTATAGCAGTGTAACAAATAATACTGAGCCTAAGTTAACTTAGACTGGAGGCAGCTTGGGTGTTAATCTAATGACTAGTTTGTTACTACCTAACCAACAAGATATGTTAGTCACAAGTAAAAACTATTTGAAAAGTATTCTGTGTAATTTTTTTTAGAAACCATATCTTTACCCAGTGCCGGCACCATGCAAGTGGGAAGCCCTCAGTTTGTCCCTTATTGTTTATTGAAATCTTGTATTTCCCGTGATTGTGTTTTTTGGGTTGTCTACCCGTGAAGGTCCAGGTTAGAATGAACCTTCAGTAACCCATGCTTGTCGTAAGAGGCGACTCAACGGCTTCGGGTGGTCAGGCTCGCTGGCTTGGTTGACACATGTCATTGGTTCCCAATTGCTCAGGTCGATGCTCATGCTGTTGATCAATGGATTGTCTGGTTCAGACTCGATTATTTACAGACCGCCGCCATATAGCTGGAATATTGCTAGATGCGGCTTAAAACTAAACTCACTCACTCACTTTGTGGGTTGTCTGCACAAAGAGTTGCCTCCCTTAGCTGTTACTGTGATGAGGGATTAAAATCTCTGAGTTTGATTCTTGGTTTGTTAGCTCAAAGGGATTCACCAAAGCTTGTGTGACCTGCTTACTTCAAGTTTCCTCTTACTTGATGCATGTCAGGGGCGGTGGGGTAGCCTAATGGTTAAAGCGCTATTCACCACTCGCCCGAAGACTCGGTTTGAATCCTGCATACAATGTGTGAAGCCCATTTCTGGTGTCCCCCCCTCGTGATGTTGCTGGAATATTGCTAAAAGCGGCGTAAAACCAAACTCAGTCAGTCAGTGATGCATGTCAAGTTAAGTTAGTTATATTTTCCAAAACAGCATTTCAAGTTTGAAAGGGTTGTTGAATGTATTAATCACTTTTCTTCCTCAGAGAAATGCATTCCGTGCTCTGAGATTCCTGTTCAGTATGGAGAGGAATCGTCGGCTCTTCAAGTGTCTGTTTCCGCCAAAACTATATGAGATGTTTATTGATGTTGGACATTACAACAAGGATCTGTCAGCCTACAAGAAACTTGTGCATAAGATGAACAGTTTGCCAGTAAGTTTTTTTAATGAATTTATTTCTTGAAAGTAGGACTTCCATGAATTGATGAATGCTTGGGAAATAATTAAGAACATTACAATGTCAAAAGATAATTGCTAAGAGGCACAGTTCTTGTACAGTGGAATCTCATTAGTCCAGTTATGGTGATAACAGCTGGGAACACTTACGTACGTGTGTGTGTGTGTGTGTGTGTGTGTGCGTGGCGTCGCGCGTGTTTTGGGGGGGATTTGTGGTCTTTTTGTACGGAAGACCGATAGCACAAAAATATTCAAGATCCTAAACTCTGTTGTTTTCATACACAAGTTGAATAGATGTATTGCGTAAGAAATAAAATAAAGGGAAAGGGTACGCAAATTTAAGCTCATGTCAGTCCAGTTTTCATTAACATTTGTTAATCTAGATGGTTTCCTTGGGACAATGTACAGCTGTTATCAAACAGACAGTCATATATTAGTTTGATGAATCATGTTTGATAATGCCACCCTAATAATCTATCCTCAACATTGAATATATTCACCTTCAAGATATTTAATACCTGAGTATAAAGATGTATTATTTTTATGTTTGGTAAGGTGCTTTCATTGATGGTACGTTTGCGATTGCAGAAAGATCAGATAGAAGAGATCCGGGAAAGTATCTGCGATACAAACCAGGAGCGATCAGCATCCAAATATATCGGTGACTATGCTGTCTTTGAGTTGCTCGGGAGTGGTGCTTTTGGATCAGTCTTCAAGGTCAAGAAAAGGTCTGCAGGACAGACTTTCCTGGCTTTGAAGGAGGTAGGTGTCTAGTTTAACATGGTTAGGGTATACTAGCTCATCCTACTGTTCAAGTGCTGTGATATTGAAGGCAGTTTTACTATTTCAATATCATCATAGTAATAAAAACTGTTGTGATATTACTGCATCCTATGCATGTGGTAAGGGGCAACTTACAAGATCCGAGGGGCAGTGGAGTAGCTGAATGATTGAAGTGTATGCTCATCACGCTGGAGACTTGGGTTTGATTCTCCACATGGATACAATGTTTGAAGCCCATTTCTGGTGTCCCCTGTCTTGATATTGCTGTAATGTTGCTAAAAGCGGCGTAAAAATAAACTCACTCACTACAAGATCCGATAATTAGTTGATGCATGACATATCGCATGGGTCGATGACAGTCAGAAAATTCAGAAAATTGAACAGAAAATTCAGCTGATAAAATATTTTGATGTAATTCCTCAGCCTTCTCAAAAAGATCTTGCACTTAAGTACCAAATTGGCAGGATAAACAGTTTCGGACTTGAAACTTCGGAGTTATGAATTATAACGTAAATGTACTGGAAGCTGTACTGAACACCTACATCTGTGTTGGATACGTGTATTTTTGATGTTATCTTTATTGATGAATAAAGAATATGATGACTATCAACACATTGTTCAGTCGTATTTTACAGCACACGGAAGATCATTCTCAGGTTGAAAAGGGAAAAGTTCTCTAAACCGGCATTTTTTGCTGGTCTCAACGCATACCGGTTTAGACGGCTTCCACTGTATGTGGCTAGCCCAGTATAAAAGTTACACACAGATTTAAAGGATGTGATATTGTGCTGACTGATTGGTCAGAGGTGAATGTTGTTTGGTTTTACAGTCGATTCACCAAAATACCCCCTATTTGGCAGATTTTATCTGCATCCCAACTTGGCAGATTTCCTCTGCATTCTACTTACCAGATAGTGTTCAGTTTCTGTCTAATGTGTAAAGTAGTCCAGCCAATCATAACATGTTTCTCCTGTGCAGCTGAATCTGCAGCACTCAGCATTTGGGAAGAATGCAAAGGAAAAGGAAGAAAGTGTCGGGGAGATTCAGAACGAGTTGAACATCATTCGACAGGAGCTGCGTCATCCCAACATTGTCAGATACTGCAAGACCTTCGTGGAATGTGAGTAGACTTAGAGTTGTGTTCAAAATATTGATCATCGGCTTGTCTGGAATTTTGCTGAGCAGAGCATTGAACCACAAACTCACTAACAGTGGAGGTACCCCATTCTTGTCTCATTAAATATGCCAATAATTATAGGGATCATTTATGTGCTTATAGGGATTGCTTATGAATTAGCATCAGTTTTGAAGGTTATTTAGGGGGTCGCTTTTCATTATTGGGTAGTGATTCTATATTCATGAGAACGGCAGCTGAGCGTCTAATCTAATTGTGATCTGGTACCATGTGCAGGTGAGCGTCTTTACATTGTCATGGAGCTGATAGAGGGCGCTCCACTCGGGGAACATTTCAACTCACTCAAGGAGAAAAAGGAAAAGTTTCAGGAGACCAGGATTTGGAATATATTCATGCAGGTATTTAAGTACAGTTTTTTACATCAGAATCACAAGATGAGTGAGGTGTGAGAGTCAGATGATAAACAAATGTTTCTTTAAATCTGGTTTTCTCCTTGTGTTAGAAGATACAGGTTAGAACTGATCTTCAACAGTCCTTGCTTATTGTAGAAGTTGACTATGGGGATCAGATCACTGACTTGATTGATGCAAATTGTATATCAAATGCGTAGATTGATGCTTATGATGCCAGTCATTGGATTGTCTGTTTGAAGTGTGATCATTTATATATTGTGTTCATATAGCTGAAATATTGCTGATTATGACATTAAACAACAATGCATTGGGCTAAAGGCATGGGTTGTCCAGGCTTATATCACCAAACAGTTAAATGTACATGAGCTGTGACAATTTGGGCTTTCCTAGCATTACCATTTTTACCATTTTTTGTGTATTTTTTATATTTCTGTCCTGTTTGGGTTTTATGATGCTAAGATAAAAAATCCCATCCTAATAAGTTTGTGCAGTTGACACCTAAATGGCTCAGGACACCTTCATATAGATTTGGTGACCAAAGTTCACCCAGGGTGCACCTGACATGACCTAAGTGGTATACTTCACAAAGAGGGCTTCTGTATCAGAGTAAATAATCAAGAATATTGCACTTCACCCACCTTTAAGTTACCTACTTATAAGTGTTTGACATTCCGAATTGAAGTCAATTCGTGAAGATCCAGGTTAGAATTGATCTTCAGCACCCCATTCCTGTTGTGAAGAACAGCATAGGTCAATACTCATGCTGTTGATCACTGGATTATCTGATCCAGACTCAATTATTTACAGACTGCTGCCATATAGCTGGTATATTGCTGAGCGTGGCATTAAACAAACAAACAAACAAAAACAAAGCATTATTTAAGTCTGAAGGGGAACTTGTCATCACCAGTGGGTGACTGAATTGAAATCCTACTGCAATATATACCTCATGGACCCCGAAAGGTCAGATGTTGGTTACAATACTTGTTGCCTGTCAGTATCTGATTCTGATGTTGTTGATGTAGATGGTGCTGGCACTGAGATATCTGCACAAGGAGAAGGGAATCGTCCATCGGGACCTCACCCCAAACAATATCATGCTTGGGGAGAATGACAAGGTCACCTTCAGTAAGTTGAAGAACCATGCACATTTGTACAGAAATATTTGTGTTGATAATGATAATAATAATACAATAATAATAATAATTGATGTCTTTAGAGCCATCAACAGGTGCTCACTGGTGTTATGACTATGTTAAAAGTGCTATATTAGGCAGAAACGAACATAGGTCATACAGGAGAAGATCCAGAGAGGGATCTGTCTCACTAGTTTAAGCTCTGGTACCAGTTGAGTAAGTTTACATGACCTTCCTTACCTCAAACATATTCATAAGAAAAGCAAGATTTATGGATGTCAACTTCTCTATTGTGAATAGCACGATGTTTCGGAGTGTATGCTTGCTCCTTCTTCAAACCCATATGCATTCCACTTTTAAATGCCCTTCAAAGACTCAAACATATTTATTGTATTTTCTTAGCTGACTTTGGGTTAGCCAAACAGAAGAGAAGTGACTGCAGCAAGATGACATCAGTTGTAGGGACAATATTATATTCATGGTGAGTTCATCGACAGCAGTTTTGGGGACAATGCAATAATCATGGTGAGTCCATCGACAATAGTTATGGGAACAATACCTTATTCTTGGGTGAGATGGCCATTATCAGTTGTGGGGACAGAACTATATTCTTAGTGAGCTGGTCAATATTAGTTGTGGGGATGATACTATATTCATAGTGAATAGCTTGACATCAGTTGTGGAGATAGTTGTGTTCACTCTATTATTATATTATCAATAATTACATATTAACATGATTCATATCTATATAGGCTAACTGTGGTGTTTTAAACAATAACAAAGTAGTTATGACAGATTTATCTTTTGTACTTGCAGCCCAGAGATAGTTCAGAACCAGCCATATGGGGAGAAGGCCGACATGTGGGCCTTGGGGTGTATCTTGTACCAGATGTGTACACTCAACCCACCCTTCTTCAGCAACAATATGCTCACCCTCGCCACAAAGGTATTAGGGATGCTGGGGGAATGTTCTTTAATGCCTTCAATTGTCCTGTCATGCTTTTGAAGGACTTAGAATGGCACCCACTTTGAAAAGCCCTGTTGAAATGACCTTAAAAAGGCCATGTGACTGATATTGTGGATAGTGTTCACTTCTGAAGCCTCTGATTTGTCAGATCAGATCAGATTAATCTGGTCTGGGGAAACAGGGTAGCCCAGCGGTTTGTGAGGTAGCACAATACTTAGGTTTGATTCTCTGTAGTACACTGACAGTAAGCAGCACTGTACTGGTTTGATTCTCAATAGTTCAATTGTTAGTGACTTACTCCGCGAAGCTATCAACGTTCTCCTCACAGGTCACCGAGAAGATCAACCCATAGACGTAGATCACCTAGATGATCTCCTCTTCGTTCATCACCGCGTAGATCACCTTACAGATCACCATACAGAGCTGCACAAGCATCGCCGGACGTAGAGACAGAAGCACGCGGTCAGAACAGCACCAACCTCTCATCAATGATGATGGTATAGAGGATGATGGAGGAGTTATTTTCTCCGATCGCGGAGAATCACGGTATTGGATGGTCAATAACCTAGATCTCTCATCACCATCTAAAAATGGCAATGTGAAGCAGACATATCTGATGAAAGAAGGCGATGCAGATGCTATCACACTACCACCCGATCGACCCGATTGCAGCAGTTCCACAGAATCTAGATGCAGCATTCCACAAAACCACGCAGTTCAGACTCCACATCTACCAAACTTTCATGCCAAGAAGTTTTCCGCGCATAACATGGACCCCTTTGTCAAAGCTCAGGACATCGATGAGAACTATAAGTTGATCAGCGATGTCAGAAGTACAAATTACAAGATTGATGATGCATAAGTTAGTCCAGATAGAAACCATGGCCGAGGCGTATGTTTTTGGTTTAAATAGATCTAGAAGCGATCAATGAGACTCTTATCACCAGATTTATTGATACGACTTCTGAGGATGATAGAATGATTTATTCTGCCTTACTTATGCAAAGAAAGACCAGCAGTTCCTAACAGATCATCTTACATCTATTTCAGCAGCACTGACCTTAGCTCGTCGTCAAGGCCTCCTCGCTTCCTGTAACTGGGGTGAGAACTTTACAGCCCCCACTGTATACAGCCCGTGGTCTTCAACATCCATCTTTAATGGAGAAATAGACAAAGTTTCCAAAGGAAGTCACTAAGGATTCCAGAGAAGTCCTGATGATTAAATCGATGGACACACTAGCCAGCGTCATCCGACAGACCTCTCAAAGATACTCAGGAAGATCTAAATTCACGGACCTACAGAGAGTACGCGAGACAGGAAGATAGCCAGCTCTAGAGGAAAAGATTCTTTTAAATTAGGCCATTCGACAACTATAGAGGAGGTTCAGGAAGAGGCAGGACACCCAGAGGTTCCCGCAACTATAAGCAGCTGAAAGACAGGTTGGAGCGACTGGAGTCTTCCACCCCAGCCGTTCCAGTACAACCATCTCAAGTGGGTGGGCGCCTCCAACTTTACTGGGAAAACTGGGGAATATTACAAGACCCTTATGTCTCCAACATTCTTAGATCCGCAGTTTTCATTATCCCACTAAAGGCCAAGCCTCCGCTGACAGTCAACCCTCACAAGTTCGGCCGTGCAGACACAACAACTACCGAAGTTAGAGAGGCTGTTACATCAGCTCTTAATAAAGCAGGCCATAGAAATACTAGACCAGGACAACATAGAACCAGGTTTCTACTCCCCAGTTTTCCTAGTTCCCAAGAAAAACTCCAGGAGAAATACAGACTCATCTACAACATGAGCTTTTCAACAAGAACTATCTCGCCAAACCACGAAGTTCCGCATGATACATTTACCTCAGTTGCGGCAGTTGATTAAGCCCCATGGACTACATGGGCAGTATCGATCTACAGGGCGGCTTACCTGCACATCGATACGCGCCAAAGCCAGGAAATACCTACGGTTTACTTTAGGCGGGCAACATTACCAGTGGAAAGTGCTCCCATTGGCGGAATATCATCAGCCCCTGGCTTTTCACGAGGATAGCGAAACCGATTATCACTATCTTCATCATCAAAGAGACTCGCGGTCGCGTTTTACCTCGGCGACGGGATACAAGTAGATCAAGATCCACAGCATCTCAAACTACAGTTAAATTACATCCATAAAGCTACTAACACAGCTAGGATGGTTAGTAAACTTACTCAAGTCGGACCTAGTACCGTCCACAAGACCTACAGTTCCTAGGCATTCGATTTATCACAAATCTCAACCGTATCGATCGTACCAGAAGACCGTTGGATCAAGATCCAACAGACCATTCCACCAGCTCTCGGCTCTCCGTTACCGCCGACAATGGCAGAGCCTCCTAGGTCTCCTCACATCAGCCCAAGACATGACAGTCAGAGGCAGGTTACAGATTCGTCCTTTACAGGTCTTCATCAATGCACATCTCGGCGATTTACAGCCATTCAGTCTACGAAACATCTCAGACCTCATCTACTATGGTGGACAAAGGAATCGAATGTCTGCGAAGGGATTTGTTTAGCAGAGCAGGAATTCAAAACCCATCTATATGTGGGGCGTCACTTCAAGGTTGGGGAGCTCATCTGCAAGCCAATAAGCGACATCGGGAATATGGAATCAACAAGAAAGCAAACTCCACATAAACAACTTAGAGATGAAAGCTGTAATCAGCGCCATTCTACATTGGAGCACATTTCTACAAAATCGCCTGATGATTCATACAGACAATTCCACAGTGGCGTTCACCATAAACAAGCAAGGCTCAAGCGAGATCATTGAACCTTTTGAACCTAAGCTTTCCAACTATTGATCCTAACCCACGATCTAAATCTACAGATCAGAGCAGTTCACATTCGGGACAAAGAATGTACTAGCAGGCTTGGCGCTATCTCGGCCTCATCTACCATCACCGACAGAGTGGATGCTCAATACGGAAATATTTGCTCAGATAATCAGAAGCCGTTAGCTTGGCGCAGCTAATAGATCTATTAAGCCACAAGATTCAACAATCAGTTACCGACATTAAGTGTCACCAATCCCAGATCCACAAGCTTGGGAAGCGGACTCTAAGTATATCTTGGGAAGGCCTCAGCGGCGTGCGGCGTTTCCATACGCCAGCAATAATACCTCAAGTATTACAGAAAATCAAACAAACACAGAGTCTACAACTCACTTTGGTTTAGCCCTACTGGCCAGCCAGAATATGGTTTCCCAGTCTAATTCAAGAAATCGGTCAACCAGTATTAGAGCTACCCAAAGCGCTCAAACCTGTTAATACATCCACACACAAAACAAGTGCGAGGAAAACCAGAAGTTTACCAACTTCAACGTATGGACTGTATACAAATGTGTTTAAACAAGAGAGGATATTCTGCCAGAGCGGCAAAAGCGGTCGCGACGCGCTACGACACTCAACTTCGTAATGCGGCGACAAGTGGCACAGTTTTGAAAATTATGCAGCTAATAAAGGATTTACAGCGAGAGATGCTTCACATCCTCAAGTGGCAGACTATTTGTGTTACCTCTTGCAAAACAAACATTTAAGAGGTTCGACGATATCAACATATCTTGCAGCTTAGCTCTGTGATTACTATGAGAACAGGTGTCAAGCTGACAAAATCTCCAGAGTTACTGGCCTTACTCACGTGCTTTCGATTGGAGGACCAAAGCGGAAGTTCCCGCCCAGCTTGGGATCTGAATATAGTGTTACAACACCTCACAAGTGAGGCTTATGAACCCTTGGAATCGACAAACTTTGAATTTCTCTCACAGAAAACACTATTTCTGCTATCTCTAGCCGCGGCAGCAAGAATATCTGAAATTCAGCTCTGGATTACGAAAGGATACAGTTTGATGACAATCAAAACATAAGCGCACCTCGGTTAAGATGGGATTTCATGGCTAAAATCAACTACCAGGTCAACCAGACAGGTTATTCCATGTACCAGCTATCCTCCATTCTCCGGATCACAAGATACACAAGACTTGTCACTGTGTCCAGTCAGAGCTCTCAAAGTTTACCTCTGACGATCCAAAACAAAGGCGAAGATTTCTCAAAAGATTATTCATTCCCTTATAAGCCAGCAGATCAAACAGAAGTCTACAGCGTACTACCATATCTATTTGGATAAGGACTGTCATACCAGCATACAAGGCAGCAGGCTTGGACCCACCAACAGCATCAAATCCGCATGAGATTAGGGCACTGGCTTCCACCCTAAGCCCCTGCGGTAACTGTTCATTGAACACTATTATGGAAGGATGCTTTTGGAAATCGAACATGGTGTTTTGCGAATCACTACTTGAGAGATATCACCACAGAGATGTCTCTGGCATTCACCATTTTGACCCCTTTGGTCCTCGCTCAACAGCTGACAGTCCCTCGTAGAAGCGTTAAAATATTACAATCACAAAGTTAATATGTATTATATACATAATTTAGTTAGCTTATAACTCTGAGGAGTTCTAGAGCTATGTATATATATTCAGCTTAGGTCTTTCACCCCTAAGTATATATGGACATTATATTTAGTTGTACAGCGATTCTATCAGAGTCACTTATGTATATATAATTTATGTAATGGGGTTTTTTCAATATATATCAATGTAATACACAATTATGGCATTATAAAACCTATGGTTATATACAGGAAATATCCTAAGTCTATGCCTTCATGAAGTTCCCATACCAGTTATTACAGTTATATACAAAATCACTAATTATAAATCCAAAGTATTCTGTTACTCCTCCTCCGTTCATTAAGTTCTACAAACAAAGAGCACGAGTCAGGATAAGGAAAAATATGTAATTTTTTAGAGTAAAATTGATATTTTATGCTTATCCTGACTCATGAAGTCAACCCTCCATCCTCCCCACATAACACTTTGGATTTCCCTGTAAATTCAAGTGTTGGGCTCGCAAAATCAAGAGAGAGTGAAGCACGAGGTAGGAGGTGGCCACACCTTTCCCGACAAAAGGGATCAAGAGGAGCAACTCGTGGTGAGTACTGATTAGTGATTTTACATTGAAGGGAGCTTCAATTAAGGAGATACAAGTGTTTCCACTATGTTCGCAAGAAGAAGAAGACAAGCAAAAGAGCATGAGTCAGGATAAGTATAAAATATCAATTTTACTCTAAAAATTACATTTTATATTTTCAAAGGTCTTTCAAGAGCCTGCATGATCGATTTTCGAAAACATGATACAAAATGTGTTTTGACTTTGGACATCTGTTACAACTGTATCACAGCATGCCCTGAAACATGACGCGTGTTTGACTTTGGACATCTGTTACAGCTGTATCACAGCATGCCCTGGGTCATGACACATGTTTGCCTTTGGACATCTGTTACAGCTGTATCACAGCGTGCCCTGGGTCATGACACATGTTTGACTTTGGACATCTGTTACAGCTGTATCACAGCATGCCCTGGGTCATGACACATGTTTGACTTTGGACATCTGTTACAGCTGTATCACAGCATGCCCTGAAACATGACACATGTTTGACTTTGGACATCTGTTACAGCTGTATCACAGCATGCCCTGGGTCATGACACATGTTTGCCTTTGGACATCTGTTACAGCTGTATCACAGCGTGCCCTGGGTCATGACACGTGTTTGACTTTGGACATCTCTTACAGCTGTATCACAGGGTGCCTTGGGTCATGACTCGTGTTTGACTTTGGACATCTATTACAGCTGTATCATAGCATGCTCTGGGTCATGACACGTGTTTAAATTTGTACATCTGTTACAGCTGTATCACAGCGTGCCATGAGTCACGACATGTGTTTGAGTCTGGACATCTGTTACAGCTGTATCATAGGTTGCCTTGGGTCATGACACGTGTTTAAGTTTGTACATCTGTTACAGCTGTATCATAGCGTGCCCCAAGTCATGACATGTGTTTGAGGTTTTACATCTGTTACAGCTGTATCACAGCGTGCCCCGAGTCACGACATGTGTTTATGTTTGGACATCTGTTACAGCTGTATCACAGCGTGCCCCGAGTCACGACATGTGTTTATGTTTGGACATCTGTTACAGCTGTATCACAGTGTGCCATGAGTCACGACATGTGTTTATGTTTGGACATCTGTTACAGCTGTATCTGGCGATGCCCTGAGTCGACATGTGTTTAAGTTTGTACATCTGTTACAGCTGTATCACAAGCGTGCGAGTCACGCGACATGTGTTTATGTTTGGACATCTGTTACAGCTGTATCACAGTGTGCCATGAATCCGCGACATGTGTTTATGTTTGGACATCTGTTACAGCTGTATCATAGCGTGCCCCGAGTCACGACATGTGTTTATGTTTGGACATCTGTTACAGCTGTATCATAGCGTGCCATGAGTCACGACATGTGTTTATGTTTGGACATCTGTTACAGCTGTATCACAGTGTGCCATGAGTCACGACATGTGTTTATGTTTGGACATCTGTTACAGCTGTATCACAGCGTGCCCCGAGTCACGACATGTGTTTAAGTTTGTACATCTGTTACAGCTGTATCACAGGTTGCCTTGGGTTATGACACGTGTTTAAGTTTGTACATCTGTTACAGCTGTATCACAGGGTGCCTTGGGTCATGACACGTGTTTAAGTTTGTACATCTGTTACAGCTGTATCACAGGTTGCCTTGGGTTATGACACGTGTTTAAGTTTGTACATCTGTTACAGCTGTATCACAGGGTGCCTTGGGTTATGACACGTGTTTAAGTTTGTACATCTGTTACAGCTGTATCACAGGTTGCCTTGGGTTATGACACGTGTTTAAGTTTGTACATCTGTTACAGCTGTATCACAGGGTGCCTTGGGTCATGACACGTGTTTAAGTTTGTACATCTGTTACAGCTGTATCACAGCGTGCCCCGAGTCACGACATGTGTTTGAGTCTGGACATCTGTTACAGCTGTATCACAGCATGCCCTGAGTCATGACATGTGTTTGAGGTTGTACATCTGTTATAGCTGTATCACAGCATGCCCTGAGTCACGACATGTGTTTGAGGTTGTACATCTGTTATAGCTGTATCACAGCATGCCCTGAGTCGCAGCATGTGTTTAACTATGTACGTCTGTTACAGCTGTATCACAGCATGCCCCGAGTCACGGCCAGACATCCTGCAGCTCAGTGGGAAGCTGGTGGACATCCTCCTGGTCAACATGGACACCCTGAGAATTCAGCAGATGAGTCTGGAGAAGAAGCTGGACAGAGAGAGGAAGAGAACACAGAAGTAAGCAGCCATATTGGTTTCAGAACTGCACACTTCTTACAAGAGTCAGTATATGTTTAAGTTAAAGGTCTACAGTACACCATGTTTGTATCAAACACTTATAACGAACTCACTGATATATTGAAGTGTTGGTAGGGTTACTGTCTGGCATGCTCATTCACAGGATAATTAGGATAAACAGCATATAGCTTTCGTGTTAAATTCAGAATGATGAGGTATCACTGCAGTCAGAGTCATCGCTCACACTGAATGCCATCATTCTATTTTTGACATGGTGTGAATATATGAAGCCTATCTCTGGTGATGATATTAGAATATTGTTGTTCATGTATATGGTATGAGATTTTGTAACTTATGTACCATATCAGAGAAAGTTAATCTACTTTCAGCATACTTGGCAGATACGTTCTTGTTATCACACTCATGTTTGGTTTATAATTTACAGGCATTTCTTTGAAGCCAATCGGAACATGCAGAACTACCACAAGTTATTCCTGGCATCACAGGAGAGATATGACAAGCTCGCTAACCTGTCTGCTAGTGGTGGTGCTGCTGGCTTTAAGGTGAGATGTCACATGAAGGCATCTGGAACAGAATGACATGAGAATATAGATGAACTAGTGCTAGTGACGCAATGTAGATTTAGAAAACACCATACCTGACTTTCACTACCTCTACAGGTAGTATTGATAAATGTTTACAAAATATATTTAAACCCACTTCTTTCATGCCACCAGGATTCTGAGAGCAGTGATGGCGTGTTTCTCGATGGGATGGAGTCTCGCAAGGAGAAAGTGAGCTCCTCATCCTCCAGTACTGATCACCAGGACACCGAGCAGGAAATGGCTGAGCAAGGTAGGCCCTCTCCCAACAGTGGACCCCTCATTCACCTTGCACTGGGCATTCTCTAGACCCCTCACTCACCCTGCAGTGGGCATTCTCTAGGCCCCTCACTCCCCCTGCAGTGGACATTCTCTTGACCCCTCACTCATCCAGCAGTGGGCATTCTCTAGACCCCTCACTCACCCAGCAGTGGGCATTCTCTAGACCCCTCACTCACCCTGCACTGGGCATTCTCTAGACCCCTCACTCACCCTGCAGTGGGCATTCTCTAGGCCCCTCACTCACCTTGCAGTGGACATTCTCTTGACCCCTCACTCACCCTGCAGTGGGCATTCTCTTGACCCCTCACTCATCCTGCAGCGGGCATTTTCTAGACTCCTCACTCACCCTGCACTGGGCATTCTCTTGACCCCTCATTCACCCTGCAGTGGGCATTCTCTAGACCCCTCACTCACCCTGCAATGGGCATTCTCTAGACCCCTCACTCACCCTGCACTGGGCATTCTCTAGACCCCTCACTCACCCTGCACTGGGCATTCTCTAGACCCCTCACTCACCCTTCACTGGGCATTCTCTAGACCCCTCACTCACCCTGCAGTGGGCATTCTCTAGACCCCTCACTCACCCTGCAGTGGGCATTCTCTAGACCCCTCACTCACCCTACAGTGGACATTCTCTTGACCCCTCACTCACCCTGCAGTGGGCATTCTCTAGACCCCTCACTCACCCTTTAGTAGGCATTCTCTTGACCCCTCACTCACCCGCAGTGGGCATTCTCTTGACCCCTCACTCACCCTGCAGTGGGCATTCTCTAGACCCCTCACTCACCCTGTAGTAGGCATTTTTATCCCACCGGCATATAATGCGGTGGGATATAGTCGTCGCCTCGTCCGTCTGTCCGTCCGTCCGTCCGTCCGTAATCATTTTGTTGCCGGACCATAACTCAAAGACCGTTCAATATTTTTTAACCAAAATTGGTAGATATGTCAAAAATAACCTAAGGTGGTGCCTTTTGCTATTTACAGATAATTGTCATTTTTATTTTTCTCGGTTTCCATGGAAACGTTTTGGACTTAGTCTTAAAGAAGGGTGGGCTTCGTTTCCAGAGCATAACTCAAGAACCATTCAATATTTTTCAACAAAACTTGGTAGATATATCAAACAGATCCTAAAGTTGTGCCTTTTGCTATTTGCAGATTTTGGCATTTTATTTTTCCGGTTTCCATGGAAAGCGATTGGGACTTAGTCCCAAAAGTGAGGGGTGGGCTTCGTTTCGAGAACATAACTCAAGAACCGTTCAATATTTTTCAACAAGACTTGGTAGATATATCAAACAGAACCTTAAGTGGTGCCTTTGCTATTTGCAGATTTTGGCATTTTATTTTTCCCGTTTCCATGGAAGCGATTGGGACTTAGTCCCAAAAGTGAGGGTGGGCTTCTGTTTTCGAGACATAACTTCGAGAACCGTTCAATATTTTTCAACAAAACTTGGTAGATGTATGAAACAGATCCTAAAGTTGTGCCTTTTGCTATTTGCAGATTTTTGGCATTTTATTTTCCGGTTTCCATGGAAACGATTGGGACTTAGTCCCAAAAAAGTGAGGGTGGAGCCGTTTCGAACATAACTCAAGAACCGTTCAATATTTTTCAACAAAACTTGGTAGATGTATGAAACAGAACCTTAAGTGGTGCCTTTTGCTATTTGCCGATTTTTGGCATTTTTATTTTCCCGGTTTCCATGGAAACATTTTGGACTTAGTCTCAAAAAAGTAAGGATTGCTTTCGTTTCGAGACACAACTCAAAACCATTATAATATTTTTCAACAAAACTTGGTAGATATATCAAACAGATCCTAAAGTTGTGCCTTTTTGCTATTTGCAGATTTTTGGCATTTTTATTTTTCCGGTTTCCATGGAAACGATTGGGACTTAATCCCAAAAGTGAGGGGTGGGCCGTTTCGAGCACAACTCAAAACCTCTCTATATCTTTCAGCAAAACTTGGCAGATATGTGAGGCAGATATTGAAGTGATGCCTTTTGCTATTTGCAGATATTTGTGATTTATTATTTTCGGTTTCCATGGAAATGATTCGAACTTAGTCTCAAAAGGAAGGGATGGGTTTTGTTTCGAACTGTAGCGAAAACTTCTTAATATCTTTCAGCAAAACTTGGCAGATATGTGAGGCAGATCCCAAAGTGGTGCCTTTTGCTATTTGCAGATTTTTGTCATTTATTTTTTTCATGATTTCCATGGAAACGATTTGCACTTAGTCTAAAATCAAGCTGGACTTTAAGTAACTGTCAGATGATTTGTTCTTTCAAAGATGGTGGGGCCGGGGGGATATGTCATCTTCTGATGACTCTTGTCTTGACCCCTCACTCACCCGCAGTGGGCATTCTCTAGATCCCTCACTCACCCAGGAGTTTGTTATTCACTAAAACTAGACTATCACAGTAGTCCATCTGAAGTTAATCACCCATCAGTAGGCAATAGTCAAGCAGTGAGCCAGCCACCACTGGTAGGCAATCATCAAGCAGTAGGCCACTCATTAGTAATCAATCATCGAGCAGTAGGGCACTTCCTTTTGGTAGGCAATCATCAAGCAGTAGGCCACTCATTAGTAATCAATCGTCGAGCAGTAGGCCACTTACTTTTGGTAGGCAGTCATCAAGCAGTAGGCCACTCATTAGTAATCAATCATCGAGCAGTAGGCCACTTACTTTTGGTAGGCAATCATCAAGCAGTAGGCCACTCATTAGTAATCAATCATCGAGCAGTAGGCCACTTACTTTTGGTATGCAATTGTCAATCAGTAGGCCACTCATCATCAGCAGGCATTCATCAAACAGTAGATCACTCATCAATAATCAAACATCGAGCAGTAGGCCACTCACTATTGATAGGCAGTCATCAAGCAGTAGGCCACTCATCATTAGCAGGCAATCAACAAAATAAGTGAGATAAAATATTTGATCTGTTCCCAGGTTGGACAAGTGATGATGAGAGCTGCCCCAGTAGCGGCAGTGAGAGTCGAGAGAGCAGCGCAGGTAGCACACGGTCACGGGGGCGTGTCAGCTCCCGTAAATCATCATCATCTGTGCCACACCCACCTGCCCCCAGTACACCCAAACTCTTCCGAGATGCACGTCGTAGAGCAGCAAAACGAGATCCATTCTCGTTGCTTACTCTAGAAATTCCAAACCAGTGTAAGTCTTCTAATCTTGGATAACCAGTCCAAATATTGATACTCTTTATCATTTGGGTAGGAAGGTTTTATATGATCTTATTTACAATTATTATATTTTCGATGTAGCTAAATAATTGTTTTATTACAAAAGTTTTATTGAGAAAGATTATGTATCCCACATGTCCGTTTCCTTCACAGAAACATTTTCCTGCCACTGTTGTCAAGAAATAAGACATATGTTTTTTGTTTTACCATGTTACAGCAAAGGCAAGTCGAGATTCTGGTCTCAGTTCCGGTGACCCATCCCCCAATAACAGCCAGTCTCCCATCACTGTTCCAGTTGAACCCTCCCTTGTTGGAAGGGGGGACAACAAACCTAACTTCCGACGATCTCAGAGCTCTAATGACACTGTGTTAGCTCATGTGTCTCATAAGCTCGAAAATCGTTCCCGTAAGTATGTTCTTATGTTTCAGGTTATTATAATATGGATCATGTTGAGTGTTTACTCAGGTTAATGTTTCAGAAAGTAATATATTTTATCAAATCTATTCTATCTTACTTTTTATAGTGGAATGCATTCATGTACAGGTGCTCCGTTAAAATAGGTGCTAAACCAATCTCACTCACTCACTGTACACCACATGTAGACCTTGATCCATTACAGGAAGCGCGGCCACACTGGCAATATCTCCAAACCGCCTGCGGGAGATCAGTGACCCCATTATACAGATGCTGCACCAGCTTCATAAAATCATCTATGTCACTCAGGTAAGCCTTCATGAACAGGTGGGACAGTGGGGTAGTCTTAGGTTGCATTGTCAGTCTTGCTGCCTGGGTTAAGTTATCGTCTGGGTACAATGTGTGACACCTATTTTTCATCCCAGATTAATCCCTGATTAAGTATCATGACTTATCAGTGTCACACCTTCTTGGTTTCCTCCAAAGGGATCACTATCTTAAGATCTGCTGTCACTTCCAAGTTTTCCTCTCACATTATCTGTCATATTGTCATTGATAACTAACGCATTGTGACTCACTCAAACATTGTCACAATTTGCCATTGTGCCTGCCCACTAACCATTTACTTGTTTGTTTGTTGTTTAATGCCACACTCAGCAATATTCCAGCTATATAGTGGGGACCTGTAAATACTCATGTCTGGACCAGACAATCCAGTGATCAACACTCACCATTTTAATGCCTGGGAGGAGACTGATAGATTGTGGGACCTTTCCAGTGCAAATATTTCTAAGGTAGAAACTTGAAGAATCAGCAGTTCTAACCACTATTGTGTTGGCTTCTTGTGTTTCAGATGCCTCCAACACTATGTCCCAACAGCAAGAGGAGAATGATAGAACAGTTCAAACGAGCACTCTTCTCCCCAAACAGCACTTCCATGAATCTCAAGAATGAGCTCAGGAAGGTAAGTTCAACTTCTCTCCTTTGGTTGAAAGTATTGTTTCTCTTGGAGGAATGCCAGTCACACGGGATAGGTTAGACTTACCTTTCTTGTTGGAGAGTTGGACAAAATTGTCTTACTTGATGGAGAAGATTGTCAGACTTTTCACTCCTGTTGAAGGTTGGACAAGATAATCTTCCTTTGTGGAGATTTTAGTTAGACTTGTCTCCCTTGTTGGAAGGCTGGTCAGACTTGTCTCCCTTGTTGGAAGGCTGGTCAGACTTGTCTCCCTTGATGGAAGGCTGGCCAGACTTGTCAGTAGTATATGCCTTGTGCTCACCCTGGTTTGAATTTATTATAGGATAATAATTTCTTGTGCTACTTGTAAGACAAGATTGTCTTCCTTGGTGGAGAAGTTAGTCAGACTTGTCTCCCTTGTTGGAAGGCTGGTCAGACTTGTCTCCCTTGTTGGAAAACTGGTCAGACCTGTCTCCCTTGATGGAAGGTTGGTCAGACTTGTCTCCCTTGATGGAAGGCTTGTAAGACTTGTCAGTAGTATATGCTTTGTGCTCACCCTGGTTTGAATTTATTATAGGATAATAATTTCTTGTGCTACTTGTAAGACAAGATTGTCTTCCTTGGTGGAGAAGTTAGTCAGACTTGTCTCCCGTGATGGAAGGTTGGTCAGACTTCCCTTTTCAACCAGATGATATGGATTATTGCTTGTGCTGCCAATCAGTGGTATGCCTGGCACAGGCTACAGTACTGACAGATTGATCTGATGTTGCTGGAATGTTGCTGACTGTGGGATGAAACAACATTCAATCTCATGCCTGTATCAGAGTCAATAGTTGACTGGACAATTATTCACAATCATGTTGAGGAAATATATTCTCAATCCCATTGGCAAGGTAATTGTTCATGTCTTGGATATGTTTAAATGTCCATGTTTCATTAACATAAGACATAAGTGATCAGAATATCAGACTTTACACCATGACTATCTCCTTCTCATTGAACATTTCAGCTGCTGCAGGGGTCACGTGATGTTATAGACTTGAACCTGGGAGTGCCAGAAACCCCTAGAAAACAGAAGTTCTCCTTGTCCGATCAGGAGATGTTCTCCTTCAGTATTGAAAAGCTGGGTGAGATATCTGAACAGAATTGTATGAGAACTGAGCAGTGTAAGATCTTGACAGAATTCTGATAACTAGATAGGATGTCAGTGCAGAGGAGCTGGTTGTGATAGCTGGATTGCATATGTGATAACTGGACATACACATTGTGTGGTAACTAGACAAAAGTGTGTGATAACAAGACACATGGAAAGATAGGTTTAAGAAAAAAATGAGTAAATTAGGGCTTAAATAAGTCCCAGTTTCGACAAACAAAATAACATTTTTTTCTCATGTTTTCCTGCCAAAGGCACTCAGATTAGAATCCTTTACTAATTCCTGATATGGTAACATAGATGGGATACGTGGACATGGGTCATGATGGGGACAGGAAGTGAGATAACTGCACACTGCTATGATTACTTTTCAGGGATGTGTGCATACCTTGGGGTGTAATTCAACAATGATTGCATGTATTTTAGGAGTTCATTTACTGTGTCACTGTGAATATCACTGAAGATATGTAACTAAGGAATTGAGCTAATAAAGATGAACCTTTTTTGCAGCAACTCGGAGTTACAATCCAGACTTTCATGATGTCGGAATTACATACGAACAGATGCAAAATATGATAGATGATACTCTAGTGGATTGTGGGTACTACAGTGTGTCGGCAAGGCAACGGCAGAAGACACCACCCCTTTCATCCGTCCATGATGTTTTCCGAAGCAGAATGGATTCCTTTGGGTCGTAACATGGAACATATTGTTTCATGGAGTGACCTGCAATAAGTTTAGGCTAAAAAATATCATATTAGTCTTTGTGCTGGAATTTTGTAGTTTAGTTACTCAAGGTGTAATTAAGTGCTTTCCAACAGGGACACTGAGCAAATGATCTAAATTACTATTAGCCTGACTTATTTAGACTCACATTGATATGAAATTCAGTGAGTTTAAATTGACAAGTTATTCAGATAAATTGTGAAAAAAAAATTACTTATAAAATAGCTTCTCCTTGCACTTGTTCTTTCATGCAATACATGCACTGTAGTTACCCAAGAACGTGCACAGCAATATTTGGAAGGTATTTTGTTAAGATGTGTTGTAACTGTTTTTTCAACACAGGCATTATGACTATAATAGACAGTATTACCATGGTTACTATCTATTGGATACATTCCTGGTCCCATTGACACAATGTGATCATAGGACTATGATGGTCCTGACTCCCATGCTCTAATATAGACAAGCAAGCGTCTAGCACAGAGACTGGTTTGTGCAAGTGGTTCCTGGTATTGTGAGTTTGTGTGACCAAGAGTATTTGAAATCAGTTCTTGTTATGTGGAATGAAGACGTATTTTGATCCGTGAGTGTACACTGTATATACAAGTATCTCACCATCCCTTTGATTCGTGAAGATCCGGGTTAGAATTGATCTTCAGCAACCCATGCTTGTCATAAGAGGTGACTAATGGGATTGGGTGGTCAGGGTCGCTGACTTGGCTGACATGTCATCGTATCTCAATTGCATAGATCGATGCTCATGCTGTTAATCACCGGATTGTCTGGTCCAGACTCCATTATTTACAGACGGCCGCCATATAGCTGGAATACTGCTGACTGCGGAGTAAAACTAAACTCACTCACTCACCATCCCTTTGTCTACAAACCATGCCTCCCCCGGAATCTTCTTGTGATCATCTGTGCAGGCTTAAAGGAACATCACCCTGTGCAAATGATTAGTTTACACATTTGGTCTATCAGATTTTATCACCCGTCCAGATCAACATGGTCTCGTCATATATGTAATATTTATCCTCCTTACCATATTAAATGCTTGCCCCTTTCAATTTTTAACTTTCCTGTGATATTAAATGGTCAAAGTACTTATTGAGAAGTATATATGAATACTATTGATATTCTTTCCTATTTTTCTTTCACATCTTTTTTCACTTGTTTGATCAGTCTTTGGGTGATCATTCCTTCAGTTTCCTTTACTGCTATAGGGAGGTCCAGTGTTCTAAAGCATGCCTCACAGTTGTAGTCCCCCAAAAAAAGCTTCGGGTCAAAATCTATGACCTGCATGATGCTCTTTTCTCCTCCTCCCTCGTAATAAGTGACTGTTTCTTTATTATAGTGCATCTTAGAATTTGATTCCATGCTGCCAACTGATATTATGATTATGTCATGGGACATTAGAATAAGAGTGATTAGTAGGCCATATCCACAGAGGAGCCGGTTGGTATTAAACATATCATTGTATAGGTTTTTTGGTGCTGGTATGTTTCAGAGGACAGCCATCCTATGAATAAATGTAATTTGTTCTGCTCCTATTTTTAACAGCTAGTATTTAACATATTGTCTTCCATGCTACGTTGAGATTAAAAGTGGGTAAATTTTGGTAAAATCTTTCAAAATATGACCATTTTGATATTATCTAAGATTCAATTTCAATGTCATAGTTTATAAATTCTTAAGTTTGTGTAGGAAATTAGTTTACCATTTAGAAGCCTGACCAAAATAACTGGCTGTCCTCAGAAACACATACCTGCATTAAACAGGACACTTGCTCCCGGTTTAGCTAAGGAAAGCATACATGTGATGTATACTAAAGGCAAAACATTTTAACATTCCTCACAACACCAAATATTAGTTATTTACCCCAGATGTCCATGGTATATTGAGCTTTAAGGTATTAAGTGGTGAGCAATATCAGCATGGATTATCACTTTACCATAGCTATAGTATCAACTCTCAGCACCTCATTTAAAGCCATTACAATCAGGTGTGTTGTTTTATTTGATACCTGTATTTGTGAAGGTCTAAAGAAACCTATAGAAGTTTCTTATTAGACTATTAACAGAATATGTTTTTGGTGCCCAGTACCTAAAAGGTATTTTATATATGTACATCTGCAGCTCATGTATTTGGTATGAGAAGTGGACAGACGTGTGATATGATGGTATAACATGCTTGTCTTGACAAGAGAACAAACTTGAATGCTGTCAACCCACCAATCAGCTGCTTCAGCTCACCTTGCATCATTTACAGTGATTGCTTGTATCAGTGATATTAACTTGTTTGTCATAGGAAGAGATTTGGTTTCTTCTGTCAGACTATGTGACAAAGACTTGGCCTAGTTAGCAAATCACGAGAGGGGAGAATTTGTCCTCCCTACGACTTGACATTTTCAGGAATGTGGATGTTTTGAACACTAGAATTTAGGATGTCCGTCCATGTCCATGGTAGTCGACGGGGAAGCAGATTAATCATCCACATATATGTTGTATTTCTGGAGTTACTGATGTTTGCACACTAGAATTGAGGATATCCGTCCATATCCCTGGCAGTAGAATTAGATTAATCATTCACATATATGTTGTATTCCTGGACATATTGATGGTTACACACTTAAAATGATAATGTCCGTTCATGCCACGGCAGATGCGGAAATAATTAGATTAGTCATCCTCAAACTTTGTATTCACAGAAATATTGATGTTTTATGCACTAAAGATGAGAATGTCCGTCCATGCCCACTCTTAGACTGGCCTCCTTGCTCAATAATATTACTGTAGACATGTCCAGGTCTGATATCAACAAACATCAGCTATCAACTCCAGACACCTTCCACAATGTGTTGTTCAATCTGTAGTCTAGCTCTTGTCTTCTGGGTCAATGCCCTGAGTGATGCAGGAAGTATCAAACAGTTCAGATGTAACTCCATTCGTAACTACTCGCCTCTTTCCCTGATCTACAAGAAGACAAGTACCCCCATATGTACGCCATTATTGCCAAGAATCATGGCAAACCAATCAAATTATTATTTTTGTTGTAACCATCCTATATTACTGTTCCTGAATATTTCTGGGTTCAGTTCAGACTCTAACTCGGGAGTGAACAGCATCATTGTCATAGGTAAAACAAGATGAAATTTAGAAGGGATGGTGCTTGCTCTCCTTGAACAGTTTTGGCTTGTTCCTACTTAAATGGTATCTGGGGGTTCTTCATGAGGATGCCACTTTCACTATAAACATTTGGGGATTCAGATAGGTCTCGGAACTTATGGAATTAACTTTTAAAAACTCAAAATTAATTTTGTAACTGCTCCCTTAAATTTCTCGGGTTGGTCTGTTTGGTATAGCTCACATTTTAAGCTCAATGGAAGCCAAGTAACATCTTTCAGAGTGATGTAACTCCCCTTAAATAATTATCTGTTATCATTTTTGAATATCAATGCAGTGAATGTATTTCCACAAGGTAACAACCTACCTGACGCAGCATAACAGCTCAGACTTGTGTTCTTGATATGTTCATAGACCTGCACTGTATCTTATGTATGTGAGTGTGTGTGTATGTGTGTGTGGTTGCATGCATGCGTGTGTGTTAACCTGTGATCAGTTAATGCTCCAATCAACTCATTATTTTATGAAGTGTGTCCAGATCAATTAAGCGAAATGTAATTTGTTGTGCATAACCATTGTAACTGCATTTTGGGCTCATTTTCCCTGTTTGCCCTGATATTGTTTTCATTGATTTGTTGGCGCCATACTTGTGCTCACTGTTTTCCCAGATCCATAACTCTAAGTAAGAGTAATACAATGGAAATACTGTGAAGGGAAGCGGGTTATAACTTAACACTGTTCAGGAAACGGGATGTACCGAAATACAGTTCAGGGAAGCAGGATATAACTTCAACACTATTCAGGGAAGCGGGATATAACTTCAACACTATTCAGGGAAGCAGGGTATAACTTCAACACTATTCAGGGAAGCAGGATATAACTTCAACACTATTCAGGGAAGTGGGATATAACTTCAACACTGTTCAGGGAAGCAGGATATAACTTCAACACTATTCAGGGAAGCGGGATATAACTTCAACACTATTCAGGGAGCGGGATATAACTTCAGCTGTTAAGGAAGCAGGATATAACTTCAACACTTTTCAGGGAAGCGGGATATAACTTCAGCTGTTAAGGAAGCAGGATATAACTTCAACACTTTTCAGGGAGCGGGATATAACTTCAACACTTTTCAGGGAAGCAGGATATAACTTCAACACTATTCAGGGAAGCAGGATATAACTTCAACACTATTCAGGGAAGCGGGATATAACTTCAGCGCTGTTAAGGGAAGCAGGATATAACTTCAACACTTTTCAGGGAAGCAGGATATAACTTCAACACTATTCAGGGAAGCGGGATATAACTTCAACACTGTTCAGGGAAGCAGGATATAACTTCAACACTATTCAGGGAAGCGGGAAATAACTTTAACACTATTCAGGGAAGCGGGATATAACTTCAGCGCTGTTAAGGGAAGCAGGATATAACTTCAACACTATTCAGGGAAGCAGGATATAACTTCAACACTTTTCAGGGAAGCAGGATATAACTTCAACACTGTTCAGGGAAGCGGGATTTAACTTCAACACTGTTCAGGGAAGAGGGATATAACTTCAACACTATTCAGGGAAGCGGGATATAACTTCAGCTGTTAAGGGAAGCAGGATATAACTTCAACACTTTTCAGGAAGCGGGATATAACTTCAAGCACTTAAGGGAAGCAGGATATAACTTCAACACTTTTCAGGGAAGCGGGATATAACTTCAACACTTTTCAGGGAAGCAGGATATAACTTCAAGCTGTTAAGGGGAAGCAGGATATAACTTCAACACTTTTCAGGGAAGCGGGATATAACTTCAACACTTTTCAGGGAAGCAGGATATAACTTCAACACTATTCAGGGAAGCAGGATATAACTTCAACACTATTCAGGGAAGCGGGATATAACTTCAGCGCTGTTAAGGGAAGCAGGATATAACTTCAACACTTTTCAGGGAAGCGGGATATAACTTCAACACTATTCAGGGAAGGGATATAACTTCAACACTGTTCAGGGGAAGCAGGATATAACTTCAACACTATTCAGGGAAGCGGGAAATAACTTTAACACTATTCAGGGAAGCGGGATATAACTTCAGCGCTGTTAAGGGAAGCAGGATATAACTTCAACACTATTCAGGGAAGCAGGATATAACTTCAACACTTTTCAGGGAAGCAGGATATAACTTCAACACTGTTCAGGGAAGCGGGATTTAACTTCAACACTGTTCAGGGAAGAGGGATATAACTTCAACACTATTCAGGGAAGCGGGATATAACTTCACGCTGTTAAGGGAAGCAGGATATAACTTCAACACTTTTCAGGGAAGCGGGATATAACTTCACGCTGTTAAGGGAAGCAGGATATAACTTCAACACTTTTCAGGGAAGCGGGATATAACTTCAACACTTTTCAGGGAAGCAGGATATAACTTCAGCGCTGTTAAGGGAAGCAGGATATAACTTCAACACTTTTCAGGGAAGCGGGATATAACTTCAACACTTTTCAGGGAAGCAGGATATAACTTCAACACTATTCAGGGAAGCAGGATATAACTTCAACACTTTTCAGGGAAGCGGGATATAACTTCAGCGCTGTTAAGGGAAGCAGGATATAACTT